ATAGGCATGAAAACATGATCATTTAAACATAGTTCTTCATTAGATATCAACTTAGCATGTAAATAAATCTCATATACAACATATAGCTAAGTTTGTATGAATTAAACATAAATTAATCATGTAATAATACGAATAATAAGAAATTGACTCACAAAAATCCAAAGAGGTTATGGAATAGTGGCAATGACACACGTTTCTATAAATATTTCGCCCAATATAGCTCCAGATCACAAACTCGACGACTTTTTTACTATTCTCGATTTTCGCTAATTTCTCTCTCTGATCTCTATGATCTACAATCTCACCAAAACAATCTAAGCACATAATCGGAGGAGATTCTATAATTACAAGTGGTTCGGATAAAAAATAATCTGTAAATCTTCACAGATCTGGATATTCTCACCTATTCTGCACAAAAATCAGAGTCTCTGATTTTTGCAAGATCTGTGACTTTTTAAATTTGTAATAACAGATTGTAATGTTGGTGGGTTCAAGTCCTGTTCTTCAAAAGGAAAGTGAACCTTTGAGTTTCAATTTTCACTTTCTCCCCAAAAGGCAAGTTGACTTTTCCTAAAACTCTGCTACATATAATATGTTTTGAAATATCACAACTCTTTTTTAACATATATCATATATGAATTGCGTATAGGATCAACATATTTTCTTAACACGTTTAAAAAAATTAATTTTCACATCAAATTATTATTATCACAACTTTTTAAAATATGTATCATGTATGAATTGCATATAGTATCAACATATTTTCCTAACACATTAAAAAAAATTAACTTCCACAGCTCAATTTCACAATTCCTAAATTAATAATAAGAATCACAAATACTTTCAACATATATGTAAGAAGATTTGCATATATGTAGGAAGATTTGCATATTCCATCATTTACTTTTTGTAACAGCATACAATACAAAAATTGGAGAGATCAAATTATTGTTATCACAACTTTTTTAAACATGTATCATGTATGAATTGCATATAGCATCAACATATTTTCCTAACATGTTAAAAAAATTAACTTCCACAACTCAATTTCACAATTCCTAAATTAATAATAAGAATCACAAATATTTTCAACATATATGTAGGAGATTTGCATATTCCATCACCTACTTTTTGTAACAACATACCATACAAAAGTTGGAGAGTTCAAATTATTATCATCACAACTTTTTAAAACATTTATCACCCCATCAACATATTTTCCTAACACGTTAAAAAAATTAGTTTCCACAACTCTAAAATCTATATAATTAGTCGATTATTTTAAAATCCTAAAATCTCAAATAAATTTATATTTAGATACTGAACTGTACCGATATATAATTAATGTCTAATATTTGTCATTTTACTTAAAAGGAATGGAATAAAATATTGTTGTGTATAATATATTGTTATACATATATTTGGATAGTGAACTATAATTTGTATATATATAATGTATAATTGTATGTTGTATGGAGATTTGTAATTTTATTGAAAAGGAATGAAATAAAATATTTTTGTATATAATATATTGTTATATTTATATTTGGATAGTAAGCTGTACCGATATATTTTTATACTTAAGATTTGTATATATATTTTTGTATATATATAATGTATAAGTATATGTTGTATTGAGATTTGTCATTTTAATGAAAATGAATGGAATAAAATATTTTTGTATATAATATATTTTTATATATAAGATTTGTATATATATTTTTGTATATATATAATATATTTTTGTATATATATATATAAGGTGTGACCGCCATGGATGGACCAGTGTGCATGAGGGGAGGTTTTGATGTTTGATTTTGAAAAGATAAGTTTGAGAAAGAGAAAACAGAGGAAGATAAATAGGAAAGAGAGGAAATTGTATTGTACAAGTGTATTTATATATGGTATTTGTGTGTATAGTAAAAATGAATGTAACTCAGTAATTTTTTTAACCCTTTGGCTGACTAGGCAATGACTAAATCATGATGTGGCAAAACATGCATAGGTGGCACCATCACAGCCATTAGATCCATACTGGATCTGCTCCAGTGAGAGGTGCACTGGAGCAGATTCGCGTCCGTCCTGGATAGGGGTGCATCTTGGGTTAGGTAACTAGAACCTAACTCGAGTCCATCCCAATTTTTCGCGAGCTTGTACAATTATTTTTATAATTAGGGTTAGGCTTGAGTTGAAAAATCTCAACCCGAATTTAATTAGAATTGGGCTTGGGTTGAAGTGGTAGCAACCCGAGCCAACCCAAACCCGAATTTTAATATTATTTTCATATATATTTTTACTTTTAAATACATTATATATAATATTTAAACTATGATTAGTTTTTTTCTTTTCAACTTATTATATTAAATCTTAACTTATTATATGTTAACATTTATAAGAATTAATTTTCTAAAAATTTGTTTGCAATTTATTAAAAATCTACAAAAAGTCTTTTAAATCTTTTCTTGTTTAGGAGTGATTTAATCTAAAACTAATTCAAGACCATATTAAATTTTCGGTGTAAGGATTAGCAATATGAGTAACCCGAAATTTTTACCTGGAATCTAAGCCTGAGTTGCAAGCTTGAATTTAAAAGTAGAAGGATGAGTTGGGCTTAAGTTGAGTAGTTAATGTTGATGATAGGGTTAGGGTTATGCTTACATTTAGCATTTCATATGGTGGGTTGGGCTCAAGTTATACTTCAAACCCGCCCAACCCGCTCGAGTTGCAGCCCTAGTCCTGGATCGGAACCAAGTTGTGGTTGCCTCTAAAGATTGAAGCTCTAGCAAATCCTCCCAAGAACACATATCAGAAAAAGATAATTGTTTGAATCCTCCCCATTATAGCAAGGGACAAGTGCAGAAAATATTCCTAAAGTATATTTCACGTAGCACTTTTACCCCTAATTGAAAAAGCATACAAAAAACACCCCTAAACTTTTCACATTGTGGAAAAATACCCCATCCGATATAAATTAATGTTGTAATACCGTTTTGCCATTTGACTCTTCTGAAAATGTTCAAGGGGGTGTATATGTTATTAATATCATAGAATAGTGGTGTTATGTGCACATTGTCTTTTTTTTTTTTTTTTTTCGAAGGAAAATATTTTACATCGAAATAAACGGAGCCTAAAAAGTGTTACATTGAAAACATTTTACAAAAAAATTATTTTAAACGGGGCCTTAATCTTCAATTTTATAAATTAAAAAAAAAAGGCTTTATTTTGAAACGGATAAAAATAAAAAATATGAATACTTATTTAAGGACGAATCATGAAGACATTCTCTTAGCTGTCACATAAAAGGTTAGAGGGTTTAAGCTATGCAAAAAGGTACAAATAGAAAATTTGAGCCCCTTGGCACCTTTTGCATGTGTAGGTAATATTTATTTTATTATTATTAATTATTTTATTTTTCAGTATTAATTAAGAAAGTATTACACGTGGGAAAAAATAATATTTTCTGGACTGCATGGACCGGTCAATCGCAATTAAATACCGAAGCAAAATTTTAAGGGTCAAGTGTAAAAAACACCCTTATAGTATGTTTATAGTGCATATTGTATTCCTCCCGTGCAAAAAACACCCATATACTATGACATTTGTGCAAATATGTCCTATTTATAAAAATTGGACTAAAATGCTATTAGCAACACATTTTATAATATATATATATATATATATATATATATATATATATATATATATATAAATATAATATTTTGTGAAATGAATAAAATATCCCTCAATTTATTGTAAATTTACAAATTATATATATACAGATACATATATATACACATCTCCACACACACACACACATATATATACATGTCTTCAGCTTGGACTACAGAAGTACTGAAGATTAACTTATCTAAAGGCACTGGTCTTACTAAGGTCTGTTTTCTTTACTAAGAAAATCAAATTGAAAATGTGTTCGCGAAACGTGCCTCTGCTTGCCTATTGTATCGTGATCTATGGATTTCACTGTGTCCTTATATACTATTAAAGCGGCATTAATAGCAGGAACTGCAGCACCAGAGGCCGCAAGGGCCTTTCAAAGGTGTTAGCCAGATGAAGTCACCCCCATTTTCGGGAAGGGAGTGAGAGGTTGACGTCAGCGTCGCCGAGAGTCGAGGAGATAAAGACGGAGGCGTCGCTGGGGAGGGCGATAAAGACGGAGGCGTCACAAGCTCACGGCCGAACCAGTCCTCTCCACAGCCCATCGCCGGAATCGCTGTTCGATGCCATCGCCACCACCCGCCGAGATTCCCGTTTACTCGCCGGCTGTTGTTCCAAGCTCACTGCCCTCGTGAACCGCCATCAATTTTGTGCGAGCTTCTCCTTACTCGCCGATCCATCACCACCATGCCCGCCGTTCAGACCCCTCTAAGCCGCCGTTGGTAAGCCGAACTCGTCGTGGTCGTTTTTGTAAATTAAAGAAATTATTTTAAAATGTATATAAAAAATCAAAATTGAATACACTTTTATTTATATATATATATATATATATATATATATATGTATGTGTGTGTGTGTGGGGCGATACCGATATAGAGAAAAACAAAGACCTGGTAAATTCAGTTGTGTAATGACCCAAATCTGGGGTCCGGATAGCTAACCGGGTCGAAAGAAGGGAGAGATAAGAAGAGGGGAATATGGTAAAAAGAGACAAAAAAAAAAAAAAAATTAATAATAAAACAAACAAAAAATGAATATTTTATTGGGCAAAAGAGTCATTTAACATGTCCATATATTTTAAACATTTTTAACGGTAAAATAATGCGGGTAAATAAGTCAATTTTTGAGAAAAAAAAAAAAGGAAAAAAAAAAAGGGGGTCAATTCACCGTAAAATCTGACACAGGCAAAAAACCTCATGTTTATTTGCAATCACACCAAATTAAACCAAATTAAGTTTTTTCTTTTTTAAAAGAAAAAAAAAAAGAAAGAAAAAGAAAAAATTATTCTTAAATTTATTGTTTTATGTATCCTTAGATGTTGACTAGTAAAGGGACAAAAATACCAAGAGAACGATAACCAGACAAGGTAAAGTGGTGAACTTCTTTTTCGATCTTCTGAAGCAGCAGATCGAAACTTAAAAACCCATACAGAGAAAACATGTATCATCCCACCAGAGGTGGTGTTCGCGGTGGTCGAGATCGTAAGCCCTCTCTCTCGTTTTCTAGGGTTTCTGGTATATATGTATTTGTATATGTATGCATATAGATAGATGCTTAAACAACCATGTATTATTTTCATATATCTCTGTTTCGACGATTTTGAATTACACCTTGTGAAAGGCATAGCGAGTCTTTAAAACACATCAAGAGCAAGAATATATATATATTGGTATTTGTTGCTATTTTTTGTTGTTATTGTTAATTGACAATTTGTTACCATGGGTTTTTATTTTATTTTTATATATTTTTATATGGGTGCAATTGTTTCATTACATGTCCATGTATCTATTATAATTAGTGTAGATTTTGGGGACAAGAGCGTACTTGTTCAGAGTCATCATAGGAAGTGAATCTAATGATCCAAATATGCAACTATTAGTAAGATAAAATTTGTATATTGTTTGTCAGATTCAAGACTGAGTTTTGCAATGTTTTCTGTTTTAGGGACATGCTTCTGGGCTTGGTTCCAAATTTCCAATTGTGTCTACAGGATAAATGGTTTTTGAGTCCTAGATAGCAAGTAAATATTCATGTATATATTAATTAGAAAAATTAGCTTGTCTCAGGGACTGTTTTGAAATGTGTATGAGGAAGAAGAGTTGCTGTTTTGATTTCCTTTGTTGTGTGCATTTGCGTTATCTCTTGTGTGCGGTTTCTTTCTAATTCTAAGAATATGGTTTGCTATGTTGTATGCAATCACTTTATCTCTTGTGTGTGGTTTCTTTTTAATTCTAACAATCAGTTGTTGTATATAGAAAATTTGAATAGTTTGGTGGTGTAGGTGTCTCCTATAACGTCTGTCTTTGACATAATGATGCTAATTATTAAAGGGCTCTTTACACTCCTGCTAATGAGAAAAGCACTGCCATACTTGCTCTAAATGCTATTTTATGAGGTTCCTTCTTTGATCAATCGAGTCGAATTGTGAATACTTTTTTATTTGCTTGATGGAGGATTCTCCAATCCCCTTCAGGAGTGGGAGAAATCCCTTGGATACCCACAATCATCCCCAAACCGGAGTTATCGGATAAGCCCACGACAGTTTTAAAGCCTCTAGGAGTCAAACCAGAGATCTCCAGGATATACCCACAGGCTCTATGCCAACAGCCTAACCCATGGGGGTTAGTCAGATAATAAATACATCAAAAGAACTGTTTAGGTTCTTAAATACGATTTTTTTTTTTTTTTATATCTATAAAATAAAAAATAAAATAAAAAAGATAAATTTTTATAGATGAACCGTATCATTTGGGATGATTATCGAGAGTTGACTTCTGTGATATATAATAATGATGATGATAGTGATTCCTGAGTACATTATGCTCACCTTTTTATGTTTTCTGATCCATTCAGTTCTTAGGGAAGAAGAAAACTCTGCCTTAGACATTGAAATTTTGTTTATTGAGCATAGGATGGATGCCATACACCAAATACAGAAGTAACTAAAAACAATTTTAGAACATTGGGAATATTTAAAAGTTCACTAAATTCAATTTTAATACCAAATGCAGGCAGTTCCTACTAAATTAAGGTTCATGTTTGGTGTATTATAAGCAAGTATATGAACAGCTGTCTATGTTCCAAGCCAGCTTTATGTTGCACAGTTGAAAGACAAAAAAGTAGAGATATATGATTCCATGCCTGGAGATATCTTGTTATTTTGGTTGATTCTTGCAGAGATATATGTTATTTCATTGTTGTGTTTCTTTAGTCTCTGTAACTTGGTCAAGGAACTGATTCCTCTTCTGCATTATACTTATTTGAAGTATAAAATATACTTCCTAATGTATGAAACACTGTTTTCAAATGAATGCTATAGCAGTATTTAATTCTTGCCCTGAAAGTTGCCTGAGGTTGTGGACTGAAATATGTTTGTAATCTTTTGCACAATTGTTGAACATGGTGCTGTGGCATCCTCTTCCATTTGCATTTGAAACTTTATTCAAACCTTGACATCCCCGTTGTTATATGTTCCTTATGGCTTATGCCACTTGAGGACACATCATGTCTTGAAGATTGTAGAGGATTTGCTGACCCTGCTAAACTATCCCGATCGCTCGTTGACATATTATCTGCTGTTGATGTGCAGAATTTAGCTGGGAGGATGTGAAGGTTGATAAACATCGAGAAAACTATCTAGGTCACAGTCTCAAGGCTCCTGTTGGAAGATGGCAAAAAGGTATCATCTTGTGATTCCTCTATGTTTAACCTTCTCATCTGAAATGTCAATTGATATTCTCGCATGTAGTATGAAGAGAGACGGTTCTTTTAAAAGAGTAACTTATATCATATGTTGTGCTTTTGGATTATTTGGTTATGTCTTAATTTTTGCAACCATGAGTTCATGATTAATCTCTACTTGCCTATTTTCACAAATTAGTTTTTGTATATGATGCTTATAGTTCGATTTTACCAACCAAGCCTTTTCAATTGAAGCATGGTTGGACTTGATTAATAGCATGTGTCCTAACTCCCAAGTATTATATATATATATATATATATTATAAGCATGTATTGTAAAAGACTAATTCTTAAGCCTGAGCAGGTCTTATTTTTTATTTTTCTAAATAATAGTTGTCTGAACAATTTAATTGATGTTTAACTATTTTTCTCCCCTTTCCTGCATATGCGACTTTTTTTGTTCAATGACGACCTGGTGCTTTGCATACATCACTACAAGCTCCTCTCTTGGTTACTTTAATACCAATAATTATATAGCACAAGATTGTTATTATATGGCACAAGATTGGATGTTATCTTCAACATTTACTGGAATTTCCATTTAGCATTTAGAAGTGACTAGTGACCAGAACTAAAAACATCAAAATTTAAATTTTATTTTATGGTGTTTTACATGATTGTTGAGTCACTTAAATACGATCACCATGAAGCTCCTTACACACTTTGGTTGACTATGCTCTGAACTTTGTAGCATTCTTTTGACTTTTAATAACATTTTGTTCTTGATTATATACTCATTGTTACAGAATTTGCCAACCTAACAGCATTTTTCCTAAGATTGACAGTTATAACCAATTATTTCTTTTACTTTTCTTCTAGAGTTGATGATAAGATAAACTTATAAATTTGTTTTCCCTTTCTTAAGTTTTATGTTGTATGTTATAGAGAAAACAAATCCTTTTATGTTATGTAATATACAAATCTCTGGTGTAGATGTGGAATTTATTATGGGTGAAAACTTATCATTTGGACAGCTTAGGTGCCGTGCCTTGACATAGACATGGAAATCATATTTATCAGAACTAAACCGCACATTGAACAGGTCATGGAATCGGTTCACTGGTTCAACCACTGGTCTATCTGTTCAACCACTTATATAATTAATAAATCAAAAATAAAAATATTTATATAAAAATAGAAAAATATGACATATTAGGAAACTGGTGCATGTGTTTGTGTGTAGGTACAATAAAAACAACTGTAACTATAATTCCTATAAAATATCTTATTTCAAGTATTAGTTATAAGATGTATTCATATACCTCAAGTAGAAAAAAAATTAAATATTTCAAGTTTTACTATAATTTCTATAACCATCTCTCCCCATACTTTGTATTCATGTCAAATGCTATTCATATACCTGGAGTATAAAACATGTGTAACCAACAGGCCTGTCGCCTAGCGGTACAAGGCTTCTACTTCCCAAAGGGAGGTTAGGGGTTCGAACCTTAGTGGATGCAGTGTGTGTGTGTCCCCAATTAGGAAAAAAAGAAGAAGTATAAAACATGTGTACACGATGAGAGTAGAGTGAGACATTTTTAGGGATCTGCTTGATTATTAGAACTCCTCCACGACGTTATCTTTATTTTTTAGAGCTCTTTTATTACTAAATAGAAAATGGTTGATATTTTTCCCCCAACAATATCGCTAAAACCCGTCCAGTTCTTATTACATCATTTGGTTCAAGCCGTTTATAATCTAATTAGCCAGGTCGACTTTTTTTTTTTTACCCTTTCCCCCTTTGTCTTAAGCTGTATAATAATATAACTGTATTGGTCTGGATCTGGTTTCCTGTTCAATTGGTTGAACTGGCCAGCTGGTTTGTTTTGATAGCACTGCATAGTCTGCATGTGATGTTCGACTTTTCTTCTTCTTAGTATTTGGAGAGGGTTGCTAGGCAGTAAACACTTTTATTTGTGAATGTAGTGAATGGAACATATATCATACAAACTTATGTAAATTTGCCTTTGTGCCAGACGTGAATTAATATTGGATTTCTGTCTATTTCATTCAAGCTTATCTAAAGTAGAAATTTCTGGATATTTTGAGATTTCATCATTGCAACAAAGAATCAAGCTTGCATTGTATTAAGAAAATAGATAAGGAAGGTAGGACTGCAACTCTTGTGGTTTGAAGGATCAGTCGGCCTTCACTCAAGATATAAAATCTTCAACCTAAGCCCTAGCCAAACCGACCTTCAATCCGAGCCCTCCAACTGAGCCCAAGCCATCCTCAAAATTTGGGTTCAAGTTGGTAATCAAGCTGAACTTCAGGTGGGTCTCATGTTAAGCTTGGGTTGGATTACTCCTATGTCTAAAAATTCTTAGAATTGAATATAAATACATAAAAAGCAATGGCCGAACTCTCAAGAGACCAATCTTTCAAAAGATTAATATACAAGAAATCAAGATTCGAAGCGAAACAAATGGGGGAAAATGTTTACCACAATTATAAATGTATATAAAGTTGGGTCAAGCTCAGGTCGCTTGACACTTCAACCTGAGTCCAACCTGTGTTGCCTGGACTTGGGTACGTGAGCGTGTCTAGAGAGGTTGGATTCATCAATGTATCAATTTATTGAATACGAAGACTCGGCTAAGAAGTGTCCAATATTTAGACACGGGTAATTGGACACTTTGAAGAACCAAAAAATAGAAAAATAAAAATTGTAAGCTTTTATATGTTTTGAGGCATGAATTTTTCAATAAAAATAAATATATCTGCTACTACGGTATATTGTATTTATATTGAGGATTGATCTGAATTGCTTCATAATTTTACTTACATTTTTCTATAAATATTATATAAGTATATTTTGTATATTGTGTCCAAGTAACCATGTCTGATTTTTTGACACTTTTAATTTATGCCCCCCTGTCCTATAATTTGATTGATAGATGAATCCGACCCCTAGACACACACCCATGTCCAACACTCGTACCCAAGTCAGGGTAACATATATGATATATGTCTTAACCTAGGGGCCTTTTAATTGCCTTACACCAGTTTGCCTCTCACAATTTTACGCCTTTGCAGCCAAGCATTTCTCGACCTCTCAACTGTCTCTGCATCTTTGCCTCTCTGAATGGTTTATTTTTCATTATTGTCTGTATATCATCTTAGGTTGAATGGACCAGGAATGCTAGAAATGGGCTTTAATATGTGGATTCTAAATGGGGATGAGATTTGGTGTTCAAACCCGTTCCGGGTTCGGGACTGGAATGGGATGGCATATTAATAAACAGAATAGGATACAGTATAGGGCATTCCGCGCCAAACCTCCCTATTGCCTTCCCTAAAGGTTGGCTTGTAAAACTCGATTCTCCTTAGGTGCGAGCAATTTCTTGGGGCCACGACTGCGGACATAGTCCGAGTTTTAGCTTTGCACGGGTCCCGTGGATTAGTCGGGGCAAAGCCCCGGACACCCTGGTTTTTGAAAAAAAGGTTGGCTTGTAATTGGTGGAAGAGGGTTTTGGAAGTTAATTAGAGATTATTTGGCTTCTTTGATGTATTGAAGTCTTTTAAATAAAAAATAGCATTAATTGCAAAGCAAGAGTGTAGAAGTAAATGGAAGAGAAAAGTAAAAGGAAAGAAACAAGACAATCATGATTGTAGAAACAAGTCTTGAACCAAGATTTGAACTTGCAACTTCTCAGTGGAATATTCATCAAAAAATTTAAAAAGAATATCTCAGCCCTTAATCAAACTCATCTCTTCTCTTAGTCAAAACTTAGTCAAAGAAGCCTTAAAGGATCTAAATAATCGACAAGCTCCATGTACAATAATAGCTTGAAATGTAACTTACTAGGTTGATATGAACAGTACATTCTACAAGCGTGTGCTATAGCTTGAAAGCTTTTGTTATGATCTCTATACTCTAGTTTATTGTCATTTATTGTTTTTCCCACGTTGCTTTGGGTCCTCATTTTGGTTTCAATTACAGTCAACTATTTAAGTTTGTAGAAGGATGAGGTTATCATGAGGACACCTCCTATTTTTTTGTTTTTTCCTTGCTGAAAGTTCCATTTTCTCCTTTAGTTCTATTAAATGTTTAATACTTTTCAAAAAAAGTTTCTATTAATATTTAATCATTAAATAAACTATTCTTTGAGAATTTAATTTTGAATATGTAGGGCATAGAAAGATTAAAAATGAGGATTCCCTCTCTCTTTCTCTCTCTCTCTCTCTCTCTCACACACACACACACACACACACACAGAGGCAGAGATATGATGAGGCTTTGGGGTGGTGGGGTGGGGGGTAGAAGGTTAGAACTTCATCTTTGTATTATCATTATGAGAGGTTCTCTAAATATATATAAATAAATAAAAATTGTTGAGGAAAAAGATCTTTCTCTGTCCCTCGCAAGCGATTGGAAATAAAGAAATGGTTAATATAAGTCAGAAGACTTTCAACCCCCAACCCCACCCACCAACAATTTCCAGTAGTACAAATGATTTAATTATGGCTTTGTCATGTCTAATTTTGCATGGCCTGAAGTTGAAGTGTCTTTCTGGTTGGACTGGTACTAGCAAGGTTGCATCACCTAATTATACAAGTTTCTCGGTCCTCATTCTAGGGAAATGGTTTTTTTTTTTTTTTTGGTTCACTCACTACTTGGCTTATTTGAGATGCTTTTCTGAAATAGAATGTCTTATTTGTTCCTTTTATAAAACCCGACAGGGAAAGATCTACACTGGTATGCCAGAGATAAAAAATCTATGCTCTCAGATGCGGAGGCTGCAAAAGAAGAGATACGGAAGATCAAAGAAGAGGAGGAGCAGGCAATGAGGGAGGCTCTTGGCTTAGCTCCCAAGAGTGCTAGCCGCCCTCAAGGTAATCGATTGGATAAGCATGAGTTTTCAGAACTTGTGAAACGAGGCTCTACTGCAGAAGATGTAGGAGCAGGGCACGCTGAAGCAGCTAAAGTTCAAGGCCTTGGTTTTTCTAGGTATGACTAGAAAGGAACAAAACTGAGCGTTCCTTCATTGTTTGAGTTGCTCTCCTTGATTCTGCCACAGTCAACATAATACCGTTACCGTTAACTGTTTATTCATGTTAAGTGTTGATGATTAGGCCTACAGTTTTCCTTAAAAGCATGTCTGCTTTCTCACGGTATCACTTGTAGTATCATTCTCATTAAACCATCAATGAGCTTAGTTCAGTTCATTTGAGTGTTTCTGGAGGTGTTGCAGAGTTTGGGACTCAACTATTGTGCTTTTGCGTATATTAAGGAAAAATATAATATATAAAATTCTCTTTTATTTATTTATATTTTTGAACACTATATATATAATTTGAAGAACTTATCATTGCAGAGCACCCCGCCTTGGGGAAGAATCAAGTTCTTTTCAACCCAGCCTAAAGGCAGAGTCACTTGAGAAGGTGAACACGCCTATGCCTGCTCCATCCGAAAGGAAGCACAAGGAAGAAGGGCCAGAGGATGAAAGTAACCGGAAGAAAAGGAAGCACAGAGTGGAGGAGAAACACGATAAGCATGAAAAGCGAGAGAAGAAGCGGCATTCTCGGGATTCAGATGACAAGAGGAGACACAAGAAAGACAAGGAGAGAAGACGACATGATTCTGACTGAAAAACTCGGGACATCTGAGATTGTGTAACATGGGGTTCAGAGGGGTGAATTGCATTAGAGTCCTAAAATTTTAGTAATCCCCAACTGTATTTCTGGTAAAGTCTATTTATTTTTCCAGTGTAAAAATTATTTATCTTATTTTTAGTTCAAGGCTGCCCCCTCTATTCTAAATTTCTAGCTCCGTCTCTGAACTTAAAACCCGATTGAAAATCATATTGAATGCAATTCAAGGACTGTTCTTAATCAAGAGTACAAAGTATTTGAATTTTTTTGCAAGTAGTTCAACCATTGAGAGAAAAAAAATAATTCATGACTTAACTGTGTGTAGTGTAGTGTAAGCATATATTTTTACATCTATATATTTAGATTTTGATTTGATTAAGAACTTTTTGAGTTATGTTCTTTAGTTATACTGTTATAGACGGTTCACACTATAATTAAAATTAATTTTTATTTACATCATTTTATGCAACAGGTGCAGGTTGAATATGACTCAACTCTACTTTTCTTAATCTTATCAAAACTGGTTTTTTAAAAAAAAAAAAAATCTTATCAAAACATGTTAATATGAATAATGTATTTTCTTATGATTTAAATATATATTTCTGGAGCTGAGCCCTACACTAATAAATGTGTCTCCTATTACAAATTTATTCTAACCACATGCATATAACATTGTGACTATATTTATGTAACCTTAAAATTAGAATTAAAATTGAAAAAAATTTTACTTCAATTTTTCTAAATTGCCTTTTTTCAGATTATTCAATTCCAAAACGATCCTATGAATTTGGGTAAAACCTAATCTATTTATCTACTGATTAATCAATCATCATCACAATCAATCTGTGTATCTGAGTCTCCCCCATTGCCATTACTGTGAGAATCAAAGGAGGCAAAATGGTGTCGGCAAATAAGGAAATGGTGGTTTATTGTTTCGACACCCTCATCGCTCACTACAACACCACTCAAGCCCCTCCTCCTGCTTTTGATGACGCTCAACAGTACTCTCTCTCTCTCTATATATATATACACACACACACATACGTACACACACATATATAACCAATGAGTCATTTTTCAATGTTCTCTTTCTGTTTGCTGATTTGGATGCTATGCTGTTGTGACGTCGTATTTTCAAGCTGCAGTTGTTCTCTCTCTTTATCTGTTATCTATTACTCATAAGTTAATTTATTATTTTGGGTGAGAGTTGTTATATTATGAATATGTTTATATTCTTTTTATTTGCATTTCTTAGAAAGAATTTTGAGTGTTTTGTTAAGTTATTGCATTTAGTGCCTTTTGAGCTTTACTAGTAGTGCATTAGTGTTTTTTTATGCTCTTGTTTCTGTGTTTCTATTAATAATTTTAAAAAACAAACAGAAAACCAGGCAACAAAATTTTGTTTTGAAGAATAGTTTACCGTGAACAAAAATTAAATTTGTTTAGAAGGATGTATTGATTTGGATTTCATGGCGTAGCTTGGAAAGCAAGCACATTTTACCCATCCCCTGAGAAAGCCAATAGAGGAAGCAGGAAGTACCAATGCAATGCATACCCTGTATGATTTGGTCATATGGTTTAGTTTTGAATGAGAAATATAACAATTTTAACTTTTGTATGATAAATATTTGAAGCTGCAAAGCAATGTTCGCATCGGGTGCAGTTCTAGGAAAAATTCCTTTTTTTCTTTGCTTTGGTGGCATGAATCTGGGATCTTTGAATTCTCTCCTTTTTTTTTTTTTTTTTTTTTTTTTTTTATGGGGTTCTAAATGGATTTGGAATTCAAATGATTTATAAGTAGGTACCTTCTCTGTTTTTGGAGGAGATCAGGCAATTTACGTGCCTGGACATCAATTTTTTTTTACCATTGACAATAGCTACTTCATTGGTCGGTGAGTTTTATATTCATTTTCATTTGTTTTACCTTTCATTTCTTATTTCTGTTCTTGTTCTTCAATCCTCTGCTGAATAAGGTCCAAAATTCTGAAAAGCTGAAGGGCTTCGTAAAATCCATCACGGTGTGGTTGGATTCTGATATTGCTCACAAATTTTGACGTCTCTCTCCCCCTAAAAGAATGATTTGGGGAGTGCCGGAATGTTTCACATAGACACTTCATGACACATGACCATTGCTCTTGCTCTGTGTTGTTGTCCCCCTCCCATTAAGGAGGTATGGCTTCCTCCAAAGCAGTTCTGGACCTGTTGAAATCATTCTTTTAAATGTGTTTTTGTTTTTTTTTTTGCCTTTTTGTTTTTTCTTAGGTAGCAGCATATCCTCATCCCATGAATTTGGTTTCATGACATATTAAATGTCCTTATCTGTTATGAATTATGTTTGGTTTCAGTCCGTTGTTTGTTACTCGGAAGAAAGTGGTTAATGGTGGGGAGCGTCGACTACGTGGATGTATTGGAACTCTGGAAGCTCGCTACTTAATTGATGGTTTCAAGGACTATGCGCTAACAAGGTATTTTTGCCAATGCATAATCTCAGGAACCCCATACTCCCCAATAATAACAAATGCCACATATGTGTTTTTCTCTTCTCTTTTCTTGTTGATGTTCACATCGAAGATAACATTGTTCCTTTGAGTAACATTAGGGAGTTCAGTCAACATTTCTAGAAGGTTTATTGCCTTTTTATCGAAATTTCATTCTTATCTTACTTGCCATCCCATAATATCAAAATATTTCGTTGCCCATATATCTTTGATAAAAGCTTGAGCTACATAATGGTCGAATTGATATTTTGACTTATAGACCTTTTTGAGAATGCTGTCCTAACTTGAAAGGAACCACATTTCACCTTATTAGATTCCTGCTTAAATATTGTATTTAGTAAAACAATGTTGTATTGGACTAATGCCATTTGGTACAAGTGATATTTTTATGATCAAACATAGAAACACGTTTTCTGAGATTGTACGATTGGATATCTCGTAGAATTCAGCTTTCTATCAGCCAGAATTAAGTCCTGCTATACAGTTTCCAATCTTTTGTGCGGAATATGAATTTAGATACTTCAGTACGTGATGTTCTGCGTCAGATATGAATGGATTTTGTTGATTTTGTAATGAAAAGACGTGTCTGACAGAATGAAGAGATGAAATTATTCCTAGTTTCTTGAATTCCCGTGTCCCATCTTTCATCTCAAATTTTCAACTGTGAAGAATGCTACAAATATAAGAAGAGCAAAGCAAGGACCAAGCCCTGAAGGGTTGCAAGCACAATGCATAATCTTATAAAAAAATGCGACACGCCTCTCTCTTTGCCAATGTTTAACTAATGCAGAACGTTTAAAAATTCTAATACTATAGTAGAAATTAGGATATGGTTTTGCTATGTAATAGTTAGAATGTTCAGAGCTGGTAGAAGGGTTTTGAGAAGGGAATTGTGTTTTGTGGGACATGGTGGCAGAAGAGAGACCGGGGAGGAGAATCAGTATTATTAGTTTGATTCTAGTATAAGCTGTTTCAATGGTTTGATTCTAGTATTATTAGTCAAAAAATAGGAAGCAATAATTACTGCAATAAAATTAACAAGAATCAGTAGAAAACAAAGACAAAGTAGGATGAAATTAAGAATATTAAGTAGAATAGAAGATATAGAGGCGGAAAAAGAAAGAAACAAGGCAGTCTAATCTCTCAGACAAAGCTTTAAAGCTGCACCTTCTCAATTGAATTTCACTGGCACCAAAAGAGACGATAACATCCCTTTTAAAAACCTAAATTCAACATCAAGACGTATAATGGTAAAAAAATCAAAGGAATCACAACCACTAGCCAAACTAAGCAAAAGAAACCTATAAAGGATCTAAATGACTAACTGGTTCGCTGCTATGGGAGCTTGGCTGATTTAAAAAGTTATGAATGGGTAAAGTTAGAATTATTACTCAAATTTATAATACTTGAAGAACCTGACACTATCACTAATTTTTTATTTTTAGGACCAAGATGATTTCTTTATTGGTATGGGGCCAAGTGCCGTAGCTTTGGGGTTCCGAAAAGGGTTTTTCTTCCCTTATTGATGTGATTTTCTTGGATGTTTGGTTGTATCATCCGGCCAAATTGTTCACGCTGTCGATCTACATAAGAAAAAAGCTTTTAGACCAGAAATGCAGTTCGGTACCTGCTTTTAGGCCAGAAATGCAGCACTGACTCAGGAAAGCTCCACCATAAGATGTCAAACTTCTAAAGTTTGCTAGTAACTATGATGCTTAAATCAATGGTAGACCCAGCTTGTATATACTTTTAAATTATTTAATGCATTATAAGTAGCTATTTTTCATTGGCTATTATTGCTTTATCTGCAACTTCAAGAATTTCATTTGATTAAAAATCTTGTTTCTCTTGTTTAAATCTTCACCCCGTATTGGCATTTCCTTTTTCTCCGTAGGTACCCCATATTGGCATTTCTGCAAAGCGTCAGCTCATATGTTTCTATATCTGGAATATTTGCAGTGCTCTGAGGGACCGCCGTTTCCCTCCCATACAGGCTAAGGAGTTGCCTTATTTGAAATGTACAGTGTCTATTCTGACTGATTATGAAACTGCTCTCCACTGCCTCGATTGGGAGGTTTGTGCTCTCTAACCTGGTTTTAAATTTTTGATTATGAATGAGGCTCTATACATGTCCTGAACTTTTATGTCGCTCCATTGAATCAGCCACAATCCGAGGGCCAAAATGCCCAACAAGTTGACCTGCACAATGCGATGCGTTGACCTAATATGCTGCCATGGTAGGGCTGGATTGAATTGTAATCTTCTTGAAATCATTAAATATGTAACATGATGGCCATTAGTTACTTTTAGATGCACCAAGAATTTTTCAATGTTCTTTCCCCAAAAAATGTTGAAATTTGTAAGGTTCCAAATTGAATTGCTGCATTAAGTTATGGTGGGAATCAAATAAACCTCTCTTCCGCATGCTGCAATATAGGATTTCCAATGTCGGTTATATAACTTTTCTTCCTCTAATTATGTAGTGGATCTGGATATTATATTTTTTACCCGGAGATGGGTGTGGTTTTAAATTCTCCGATGGATAATGTAATAGATTTGCTAACTTCCTAATCCTCTTATGTTGTGTAATTTGATTGTTGACTATTGAATATAATCATGCATAGGTGAGATGATCTTGATTTTACTGCTGAAATGCTAGTTTTATTGAATAAAACTCAACTTTAGTATTTCTATGGCTTGATATTTCTTCCTCAAGAATTTAGTGCTTCCTTGCAGGTTGGAAAGCATGGTATAATTATTGAGTTCACTGATCCTGACTCTAATACGAGGCGAAGTGCCACATACCTGATCGAGGTGGCTTCTCGTGAAGGTGACGATTCCTTTGTTAGCCTTCTTACACAAACTTTTTTGGATGGATTGGATTAATACTAACAACGATTATAGGCTTCTTAAAATAATTCGAGACATCTTTTTTGTATTAATTCATTTTCACTACAAATTCTTTATGCTCACGCTTTTTCCCCGGGAAAATTAGATATGTTATATTTGGCTGCATATTTGTTTTGTATAGGTAAACCACGATTCTAAATTGCTCTTTTTATGATTTGATTGGTAAAACCAAGTCTTTAAATGTTACATTTTTGTTTCAAGGTTGGACGAAGACAGAAACAATCGACTCCCTAATGCGGAAAGCTGGTTACAATGGCACTATCATGGAATCACTCCGGAAGTGCATCCGACTGACCCGTTACCAGAGTACATTATTTAGTATGCACTACAGCGACTATATCTCCTTTGTCAAGACAACCGGAGGTGCTGCTCCCTTTGTTGGTGGGGCAAAGCCCGGCAACCATTAGTTGTTTCGAACAGCGTTCACTTAAACCATAAACTAGTTTGGTTTTCAAGCAAGACCGTTTAAGAAAATCAGTGTTCTCGAATTGCTTTCTCAGTTTTCGAACCCAATTTGTTGTCACCTATTTCTAAATTATTCTTCAAATTCATTTTATTTTGGATAGAACACTAGAAAACACTCTTGGCACAGAGTTCGCCAATGCCAGCTTATTTTTGGAAACTGGAATAATGTAAAACTTCATTGTTTGTAATATTATATCAGCCAATAGAGTTTATTTATTTCTCTTCTCTCTCTCTCCAAGGCTTATTTTTGTTTCACACCTTGTTTAAACCAAATCAGAGGTACGCTTCTTTGCTCAAGAAATATTTGTGAATGGCATAAAAGGCTTTGATGGGTTCGTGTGATTTGAGTTACATGTGGCTGTGTATAGCAGTGTTGAGAAAGGATGAAAGTGCAGTTATTTTGTTGAAGTTGTGACTATATATTTTCTTCATAGAGGCATGAAGTTTTGTGTGTGAAATCACACACACCAGAGAGTGTTACTAGAGATCAAAGGGTATTCCTGGGTTCTTGAACTGTATCTTACTCTTGATTCAGCATCTGGGTTTTTGGGCACATTTAAGGACATTTTGGCTGTTTTCATGGCTTTTCATACAATTTTTTATGGCCTGTTTGTTTTCATCAATTTTGTGGTGCAGTTTTATGTTTCCGGTTTCGAATATGTGACTTCCAAGTCACAATGGAGCAACTTTATTGTTGCATCAAGGTCCACACACCATGTAGAGGTAGAGTTGCGTACATTTGATCCTTCTCAAATCTTGCAATGACAGGAATCTCGTACACTGGATTAGCCCTTTATTATAACTTTTTAGAGGTAAGACTGCGTATATTTGATCCTCCTCAAATCTTGCAATGACAAGAGTCTCGTACACTGGCTAATCCCTTATTATAGATTTTTACATGCGATTTAGATAAAACGCCTTCTCTCTTTTTCTTAACACCTTTCTCTGAGACCCTCTAACTCCTCCTTTATCACACACCACCTAGCACCCACTCACTTGACATCACCACCACAAGAGATTCTACCCCAACTCATCCAAAACCCTAACATATATATACATATATTGGTTCTACATTTCAATTTTCAAATGTACTTCCATGTTGATTCTTTGTTTAAACACCACACATGCCATACACGTTTTCCAGTTGGCCAATTCCATGTTGTTTCATTGAGTTGGGGAACGGAAACAAAAGAATTTTATTTCAGTAAATGAATGAATTTGAAATGAAATGATCTGAGCTTAAATAAAAAATAAAAAATAAATATTTGGGTATTAAAATTGGATTCAAAAGTTTAAGGGATAGTAGACAGCATATTAGAGGTGAGAGATACGAACAATTTCAGTTTTCTTGACTAGACGTCACACATTAAAAGGGCTTACTTTATTTCAGTTATTTACAAATAATTTTTAATTTTTTGAAAACTTAAAATTTAAAAATTTATAAAAATCTGATAAGTTGACAGTTTATTAAAATTTAATTTTTAAAAAAGCATATTTTAAGAATGCCTTTTATAATTCTCTAAAAATAATTTTATGTCTTCTAAATTATTAAGAATTATTTTTTCGTATAACAAACCAAGCACACAAGCATTATCTATTTCCTTTCCATTCCGTCGTTCCTTTCCTTTCTCTGAACGACATCGTTTAACTCATCTAAATAGTGTCCCGAACGCAGAGCAAAGATTAAACAAAATTTAACACAAATTTGAATTCCACGCTCTACAAGTCTCGACTCAGTCGCCATCTCATGAAATTCGTCCACCAATTCTGAGTCTCCCACGCAGTCAGTCGTGCACACGAAGCAAACAATACGTTATCATCTCAGGTTCTCTCTATAAACGCAGGCACATATGTATATATAATTAATCGTAACTTTTATTGCTCTGTTCAGATTGATGGTGGTAGCTCACTTTGGATTGTTCAAGTAATTGATTCCTTCTTATATTCGTTTTTGTTGGGAATTTTTTTAAATTAGGTCAGCGATTTGATTCGAATTTAATTGTTAACATATCATGATATTGAATTTCGAATTAACTGTGAAATTACTTTGTGTAATTTTAGGACTGTCTATGTTTTAGTTGTGTGCGCGTGTTTTAAATATTATTTGCAATTCCGATTGGAAAAAAATACGCATTTTAGGGTTTCGTTCTTTGGTATGATTCATAATATTTGCTTAATGTCAGTGTATTCAATATTCAATGATGAAAGTCGAATACACACATTTTTATATGTGTGTACATGTATATGTATTCATGAATTGTCTATGCTCTTCAATATATATATATATATATATATTGATGCATGAATTAGATGATAATCTGTTTAGAGAATCTGCAATGATTACTGGGTTTGATTTTTTTTTTTTTTTTTTTTTTTTGATTTTTTTATTATTGTTGTTTAATTGAATTGAAATTTGTTAAGTTTATAACATAGTAATGTATAGAAAGTTGTTAAAATCATATTTTGGTGGTTACTGTTGCATTAAGGGTCTGGAAAATCTTTGGCAGGTTTTGACGAATTTAAACCTATAGTTGGGAGATGAGTCAGAAAGGGTTAATTTACAGTTTTGTTGCAAAAGGGACGATTGTTCTAGCAGAACACACACCATATTCTGGGAACTTCAGTACCATTGCTGTACAATGCTTACAGAAGCTGCCTTCTAACAGCAGCAAGTATACATACTCGTGTGATGGCCACACCTTCAACTTCCTGTTAGACAATGGATTTGGTAGTGATTCTTCATTCGAGTTGATATCTACTTTTTGTCTATTGTTTCAAACTCAGCTTAGCCACAATTTTTGATTGATGACTTTTTTGGGCCATGCAGTTTTTCTTGTTGTCGCAGATGAATCACTAGGAAGGGGCGTTCCTTTTGTGTTTCTTGATAGAGTGAAGGATGATTTTAAACAACGGTATGGTGCGAGTATCGGGAGCGACAGCCAACACCCACTTGCAGATGATGATGAAGATGATCTGTTAATTGAAGACCGGTTTAGCATTGCATACAATCTTGACAGAGAATTTGGGTATGTATATACCACTTTCTTTGGAAGTAAGCATTATGATATTTGAATTGTGGTGTCTACTGTCCGAATGTCATGTTGGTCCTTAATGTTGTGTCTTGTTTACTAGGCCAAAGCTTAAAGAGCACATGCAATATTGTATGGACCATCCAGAAGAAATTAGTAAGCTGTCCAAACTGAAGACTCAAATAACAGAGGTCAAAGGGATCATGATGGACAACATTGAGAAGGTAAAAATTGTTTTATAGTGAGTTATAAATGTTAAATAGATAAAATAATTGACAATTATAAGAACTCATATCATGGTCCACAATCACTACAAAAGGAACATGTAGGCAGTTATTTGTGGTGATTTTAGATTTTCTTGCCATGTGTAGTTCTCATTTGTTATGTACAATGTTTACATTATAATTTTGTACTTATATCTTATATTTTAAAGCCTTTGCCCTTGCTATAAGTTTTTATTAAAGCCTGTTTTACAATGGTTGCCACCCCCTTTTATGGCATTGACCTATTAGCTATGGATGTCAAAGCAGGCAGAAGACGATTTTGGTTACTTTAACAAGGGATAGCTTGTTTCTATTCATGTTTTTATTTTTATTTTTTGGGCATATGTCACATCTTTTCCGCCACTTTTTTTGTCACAAAATGTCTTCAGATCAATGTTGTTGATTGCTTTATTTATTTAATCCATATATATATATATATATATATATATATATATATTGGTTAGGTAAATACTCAACCCCCCAACCCAAAAAAAAAAAAAAAAAAAATTGCCCACTGAACCCTTCACCTCCCCTTTGAGGGAGGAGAGGTTATAGTAGCTCGACTAATGGCCCAATGGTTATTTAATTTATATGATGTGAAATGTTATAATGGTCTATTTTGTTATTAGCGAATTTAGGCATCAGTTTTGCTCAAATGAAAAGGCATGCGGTTCATTTTTTGATAATGATGGAGATGGGAGAGTGATTAAAAGGGCTCATTTTTAGAATCCTGGGAGATTAGCAAGTTTCATTGTGTGGAGCTAGCGTTAGACGTCTGGCTCAGTCTACTGTGGCGAATTATAAGGAAGGCGATAAGGGCCGACAAAGGGGGGAAAATGTTAAAGCCTTTGCATTGATGGTTGGTTCGCTTACCCAGGAGCTTAAATTATGGTCTCGTGGGTTAAAGTGGGAAATTCCTGTTTGTGGTGTCCAAGCGTGGCTGTTGGATTAAAGATTTAGATATCGAGACATTTGTTGTCTTTAAAAGTAGATATCATGTTTTTGAAAGTATGCTGTACTTCTTTTTTTCTTTTTTTAATATAAAAAAGGGGGAAATTGCTCGGGGCATTTTGAGAAGCTCAGGCTGCCAAAGGTCAGAATGCGAGTTAAGCTTGGGGCAATCACTTGTGTGCCAATAATGCTAGTGGTTACTTTTGTACCCGAACCACCCCTCCTATCATCTGGCATTAGCTAATAATTATTTGTTCTTGTCATTTCTGTCGCAACAAGATGGACTTTTTACTGAGGCAGAGAATGGCCTAACTATTAAATCTTACATGAGAATTTCTTTTACCTATTTCTCTTGGTAATCTATTATGAACAAATTTTTTCCCAATTTATGTTACTTTAAAGGATTATGATATTCACTACCTGACTCAAACAAGAGAAAGAAACAAGTATAATCTTTTTTATAGATATTCATGTTATGTTTATTATGGTAACCGGGTCCATGAATTATGGTCAATGTAGAATCAAAGATGCACCGGTTAGAAGAGGAAGAGCTGCTTGCCTAGAAGGTAAGTGACAAAGAGGTCGAACCAAAACTTACATGGGATGAAGTAATTAAAACAACTTCTAAATATTAAATACAAGAGGGTACATAATGTATAATAGGAAAGAATGGAAAAGAGAATTAATGTAGCCAACCCCGTTCATATGGGATAAAGACAAGGATGATGATGATGAAATAATACGAGCTCCAAGATAGATTGGTCAAATTTAATGATTACCTTATCACATGTGAATAGTTTACCTGTAACTATTCAATTCCCTGTGAAAAATTAATTACATTGAAGTGTTTCTGCGACCGAATCCACCTTGAATTTGATTCCCTCCCCCGTTTTTTTTTTTTTTTTTTTTTTTGAAGTCATTATAATGGAAGTGACTGAATTTCTTTTCTAGCTTTTTAAGCAGCTCTTTCATCTTCTTCTTTTCCCATATGTTGTGACGTTTATGTTACAAAGTATTGTTCCTTACCAGTGAAGTTGAGAAAAAAAAAAAAATATATGAATAGGAAAAATATAGCACTGGTGAAGCCAAAGGTTCAAACCAACTCTCTGCTCTAGTTTCTGCTATATTTTATAATGTCCTAGCTTCTTATCATTGTTGTCGGTGAGGATTACGAAGCAGTGTCCAAGTCACGCCTTTACTTTTCAGTGCTTAGGTGACTGGGGGTGGAACCCTATAACACATCACAGTTATGATGATTAAGTACTTCCACTCTACAACTAGCTCTTTACCTTTACTTGAGTTGCATCGCATTCATCCCAAAAGTGGAGGTCCATCTTTAAGCCCCAGTCAGGATCCAAGTATTTGTCTTAATGAAAAAGGACTTGCAGTCTAAATTTTCTGGACTGTTTAATGAGTTGTGTGGATTAGTTGGTGTGCGCAAACCTGTTGTGCGGTATTGGTGCTTTATGTTTGCCATTATGTTATAACTTAATATTGCTTCATTGTGGTGGCAATGCTGGCAAGAATATGCTCCCAAGTTTTTCTAAATGAGGTAAAGTTTGCTGGAAGCTAAACTATTTTCTGTAGACTGGCTTAGATATGTCTTTTGTTCATAAGATGAAGCTTTGAGGAGGTGTGGAGGAGGCAGGGGTGGACCCACGAATTTTGACTTCGGGGTACCGAACAATTTGTGTAGTAGTTAAAATTTGAACTGATTGCCCACCCAGCAATGGTATAAGGAGTTGATAGATGTAAAGCGATAGTGTGGGACTTCTGAGTAAAAAACAAGATTACGTGTGGTGTTTCAATGCTTTGTCAACTCCTATAATTAAAACTTGTTGGATAGAAGTTCAAAGATTTTGAGTCTTGTAATCATACACCTTGTTTTCTAACATTGCTTCGAACCTCCAATAAACTTTTGGAAATTATAATTCCTTTTCTATTTCTATTTTTATAAGATGAAGTTGAATATCGAATTTGCGCTGTAAAAGGCTATTTTTCCCTGTCTTTTGCAAGCCTGTAAAAGGTAATATGAGTAAAAACGGCCCATCTTTCTGAGCTTCATCTTGATGTTGATTAGCTTGAGTTAAACTTAACCTTGTTTATCCCAAAAATTGGACCGCAATAATTGTCACATCACATTGCCCTTTATTGACACTCGTTGAAGCACCGAAGTGCCATGACAAGATTGTTATTTCATTCCATTAGTTTTAATTGAGTTGAATGTCTGAAAGTTCTGATTTTGATCACCTTTCTATCAGCATATGTAAACAAGAAACTGATTGACAAAAATTTTGTGCTTACCTTTTGATCCAGCTAAATGGTTGAATAAGATCCATTTTGCCTAACAAAATGGTTTGAAATAAGTGGAGGATGCATATCACTATTCTTACAAAGAAATCTGAGTTTGTGTGACATATTCCTTTTGCTTCTAATGGCTTATGTTCTTCCTCCAACATTTTACAGTAAGTTATACTGATATGTTTTTGAAGGTATATTCTTGCAGCTCTCAGAAATCAGTTTTGCTTTGTGTTTAACTCGGGATTAAAGTTATTCCTAAACTGTTTCCCTATTGTCTGGTTGGCATGGAGATTAATCTGATAAATAACCTTGCCCTTTTTTTTCCCCCTGATCTCAGGTTTTGGACCGTGGGGAGAAGATTGAACTACTGGTGGATAAAACAGAAAACCTTCAGTTCCAGGTATGCACAATATCTCGTTGTAGTCTGAGTCTGAAATGGATCTTGGGGAGTTCATATTAATACATATATGGGTATGTGTTTGTCATCAGGCTGACAGCTTCCAGAGGCAGGGTAGACAACTTCGTCGTAAGATGTGGCTGCAGAACCTCCAAATGAAGATAATGGTGGGAGGAGGCATCCTTATCGTAATCGTCATACTGTGGCTTATTGTTTGTCGAGGTTTCAAATGCTGATGGGACAAACTAGATTTAGTATTTATTATTATTTAGTAGAAGTTGGTTGTTTTCTTCTTCCTTTGTACAAAAAAGTTATAATCCTGTATATGAAGATTGTTATGTTTGTAGCTAATAACCAGACTATATGAATATATCCCACTACTGGTCGACTCTCTGTTGTTTGATAGTACCTCAATCTTATGTAAAATGACGACCTTATTCTTTTCTGGTAGATTGTTAAAGACATCCTAAATATTTACCAACGTTTGATTACGTGGTGTGCCATTGTATAGTTTGGAAGTCTTTTTGAAATATTTTAGCTTCTGGTATAGGTTCATACACTTAGCTCTAAAGTAATAGTTTGACATTATTACAGACCTTTCCAGCTTAGATTGATGTTGTAATTTTGCTTTTTTGCTGTGGACAAATTTCTGGCTTTGAATATTTTGATCTATATTTATTGTTACAAGTGGGACTTGTCCCACGTTAGATCCGAATGGAGAAGTGAATGGGCATATATAGATTGAATGTTGGTTCCACCTAATGGTTTAAGCTTGTGGGTCGGATCACCCATTACAGTTGGTACTAGAATCAGACTCATTTCTTGACCAGGTGTCACGCCAAGTTCAGCCCTGAAGGGTCATTTATTTTACATTGCTACATGAATTTTAATCATTTTCTAAAATTATATTATATTAATTTTATCTTTTTTCATATAATAACATTACCGATTTTTTTTTTTTTTTTTTTTTTTGGTGCAGTTCTTAAATAATTTTCTCAATTTTTTTCTCCGATGTTATCTCTGTTACTTGACAATGTGCTCAATTCTAATTATATTATTTGTTCTTGTCTTGGGTTTATGTTCAACAAGAGTGCACATCCAGGAGTATATAAGCCTTTATCACGGCCCACCATCTTGGCATGTAAAAGTAAATTAAAAAAATTTAGGTTTTCGTCTTTGATATGTCAAAACATATTAGTAGAAAACAAATGATATTAGCACTGATTTTACGATTTTATTGATGACATGGTTTTAAGTTGGGATACAACACCATAATAACTGTGAAATCAATACTTGGAACATAGATATTGCTTAAATTTTCGTAAAAAAATATAGATGAAATTAAGAACTCTTATAATGTAATTTCAATACTCGGAACATAGATGAATCTTATAATGTAATTTCTTACTAAAAGCATTTTTTATTTATTTTAATGAACACTTAAACAAAATTATAATAACACCCTATGTAAGCCGTTGTAACATTTAGTAGGAATTAATAGAGAGGCTGAGGTCATATTTTTGAAAAGAAAAGTACTCCTTTTATCAGTTTCATTTACTTGGCATTCTAAATTTATTTGGTCACAAGAAGTTATTAAGTCTCATTGATTAATTGATTGCAATTGCAGAAGTAGTTATTTGCTTTTTCTGAAACATTAAATTTGAAATTTGAAATTTATTTTATTCTTATCTAGTCGATGAATTGTGTCGGTCAGAAATATTGAATATTAGTTAATTATTTAATTTAGCTGACATAGACACTTTTGTAATAAGAAAAACTCTAAAATACCAAACAACGGACAGCTTGAAAGTTGTGGTGGATCTCACGTAGTCACGTGAGCATAAAATTTGAAAATTTAAATTTAATTTATTCCTACCTAGTTGATGAATTGTGTTGGTAGAAATACAGAATATTAGTGAAAATACGATAGCTCGAAAACATAAAACACCTATCAACCGAAAGCAAATACCTAACAACCGAAAGCTCACATATTGTGGTGGGTCTCATGTTGTCGAGTTGGTGATGTATTAAGTTATTGTAACAAATCACATTATTAATAAGTCTAGACTTCTAATAAGTATGATCTTTGAATATCATCTCCAATTCTTCTTTGATAAATCAATTGTATTTAAATTTTGGATAAAGTGTCAAAAAAGAATCTACCATATAAAAATGTTCAAAAAACAATGCATTTTATTAAGTGCATATAAATTATTATATTTTAAAAATTTGTAACAAATTATCTCCTAATTATTAATTTTGACCAATTTTTTTAAAATAAAAATCCCAAAATACCCTCAAGGGAATTTTGGGTATTTTTAAATAAAAATAAATAATACATAATAAATAAATATAATAAATAAACAATAAATATTAAATAAATAACTTTTGGGCTGAGTTTTTTTATAAAAAAAAATCCTTTATTTTTTATTTGTTTTAAGAACATTTTAAATATTTAAAAAATGTAAGGGTTTTTAAACGTTGAGCACCAAATATTGAACACAACAAATTCAAATAAGCATGAAAAAAAAAAAAAAAATTTAAAATTCAGTTAACTCGTAAAAATTTTCATCCTCAACTTTCAATTTTAATCAAAAACCACGTGACAGCACGTGACCCACTGTAACAGGTCATTTCTTCCAAGTTTCAAGTGTAACACAGAGAGTATGGCCTGAATGGTGACGACGACTCTGAGGAAGGCGATGGTGCTTTAGGAAGAATGTTCAGGTAATGTTCAACTTTGATTCTTCGTATTCTGGTGTCTTAAATCTGCTACTACATACCAATTTTGGCTTATTGGTTTTGTTTTTTGTTTTTTGAATTTTTCTATATATAAATATGAGGAGAATTGCAAAGCTGTGATTGTATGTTGATCTAGGGTTTTCTCCGTGCGTTGATTGGTTATTATGGATTTTGTATACTTTGCTAAATATTGCTGGCTTATGTTTAGAGGTTGTTTGAATGTTATAAGCTAGGGTTTTGAGAGTGAACTTGGGAGGAGTTTAGATGTTTTAAGAATCAGCAATGAAGAAGAACTCATGATAACTAACCCCAAGGGGTTGGTCTAGTGAGAAAAGACTTGTGTCTTGGTGCCTCATGAGGCACCGGGTCTTAGTATTGATTCCTCCTCGGTGCAAACAGTTCCTTAAAGGGCCACGCCTACGGACATAGTCCGATCTTTACCTGATCCGTGGGAGGGGTGGGGGGACCCCCGGGACGCCTTGCATGGGTCCCGTGGATTAGTTAGTGCAAAGCCTTGGACACCCTGGTTATCGTAAAGAAAAAAAAAAAAAACAAAAGAACTCATGATAATTGATGAGAGAATTTAACTGGTCAAGTGGATGTGGTGCTTAAGTGTGTGTGTTGCCAAAAAAAGCGTGCTTGTGTGTGTGCGTGTGTTTTCTAAAGCAAAGCATTGCCAATTTTTTTTTTTGAAGGGGTTGAGAAATTGAGAAGTTCAAAGTAAGGAGTCAAGAGGTGCATGAGTCTCTTTTCCTAATGAAAATTACTAATTAGTTTGATTGAGTAATTTAAAGATAATTCTTACACGTTTTTTATGTCCACTGGACCTCATTTGTAACTTCACTTAACCAACCAGTTAAAGCTTGGAGACTTCAGTGAGCCTGTGATTTCGTTCTCTACAACACATTTCATTTCAAATGCATGCTATAAAGGTCTTGGGCCTTGACTGTATGCTTACTCTTTTTTTATCATAAATATCAGCACATAATGCGTAGTAAATACATTGTGTTATATAACACATTCCTTACTAAATGCTAATTGATATCGGTATCAAATTTGTGATGCCACATTGGCCTGACCCCTAGATCGAAAAAACTAAGACCATTATTGGATTAGGCTTCTTAGCACTTTGTTTTCTTGGAAGGCTGGGGTGGCAACGGGAGTTCCCAAGTGCTTTTGTTCTAATTAGGTAAGCTCATGATGGACTATGCATTGGTTCCATTAGATCTTTGTTACCAAGTTGAACGGATTTTCTAATGCTTAATGTGCACGGGTTTCATGAATTAAAGATGGGTTGATGTTATTATGAGCTGTCTTTCATCTTTCTTGTTTGTTCCTTACTAGTGAAGAGAAAAAGAAGAAAGATGGTTTGATTTTGTTATGAGTTGTCTTGCCTCTTACGTAATTTACCATCTAGGGGTTTCCACCCAAAAGATCTCCTATTGACTCATTTGTACAGATTTTCATGTGAAAAACAATATAATGTTTCATTCTCTGATTCAGTTGCCAAAGCTTCTGATTAGTCATGTCTGAAAGAACATCTTTATCGATTTATCACTAACATTTGAAATGCACTTAAAAGTGGTTTCTTTAACTGTGTCTAGAAACATTTATTATTTATTTGCCTTTGCTGATAAGATAACATCATGAAGAAAATAGATTTGGTTTCTTTGGGTTCTACTTAAACAATATTATTCATTTAGCCTTTTAATCTAAAGGCCATTATCCCTTTTTTCTCTAAAATGAGAAATCAAGTGATTCTTGTAGGTTCAATTAAGCAATTCTTTTTAAATAATTGTTTAAAAAGTAATCTATAAAATTTTGACACTATTCATGTGAAAAATATAATGGATTAATTTCAGAAGATGCACCTTTATCTATTAAACAAAATGACAGAGGATTTGCCTTTTGCCCGTAGTGATTACTAAATTGATTAATTCAAATGCGACTATTTGAATGGGATCAGATGTTGCTGAATTCGGAAATGATTTAAATTCATGCACGACAAAAAGTAACGAGTAACCAATTAATGACGTTAAATTTTCTTAACGACAAATAACTAATACACAACTTTATTTTCCCTCAACAATTAATAACTAATATTGTCGTTATTAACGACATCACCTTCCCTCAACCGTCAGTAACGAACATCATTGTTCTTTTCTTTCTTCCTTTCACTTCTTTGATGGGAAGCAATAATCATTCACATCAATTCATGTTCTACCATAACTATAGCATTTCTTTAAAAACAATCCTAACAATGTTGAACCCTAAATTAGATTATTTCAAATTTATCTACTAGTAAATCAAATTTTAAGTCTGAATTTATATAAGAAAACATAATGTTACCAAATATAAAACAAGAAGCAAACTCTCAAAACACCAAACTTGCTCAAAAATCCATTCCAGGCTTCCCATAACTCATAAACACACCTGTGATTGCATGGGTTCTTTGAGACCTAATTGCCTAATTAACATTGATGGAAAAAATTATTGAACAAACAAACACATTATCCTAGAACTTGAATTTATCTCTCATGGCTAGCTAGTTTCTTGTTCCTCTTATGCCTCCTCCTCCTTACTAGCTAGTTTCTTGTTCCCTCTTATGCCTCCTCCTCCTCCTCCTCTTCTTCTTCTTCTTCTTCTTCTTCACGAGCAAGGTTCAACTTCAAGTGTCCATTTTCCCTCGAAGCAGCCAGGACACAATGAGGAGGAATCCTTATCTCCTTGCGAACAAGCCTGTCAGAAGTCTCATCCAATTTATGGTAAACAAAAGGTTTACCAGTTTGAGATAATTCTAAGTAAGAAATCGGTGGAGGAAACAGATTTTCTTCGCTTGTCCACGATCCTTTGTAGTAAATACACTTGTCTGCTGCTGCAGAATGCTTCTCCATGCTCTTCTCCTTCTCATTGTCACCCTCATCCTTGTGTTTTTCGATCATTGTTTGAAAAGTATGAGGATCTGGCATAGAAGATGATGATGACAATGGCAGGTATGGAGGGGAAAGTGAATGAGGGGATGAAGGACTCCCCTTGCAGTAAGGCTCCCCAAACATCTCAGAAACACGATTGCCCTCATAAGGTATTCCGGATTCAGACTTTATCCGTTGGAATGGCAACCCCGTGAACTTTGGTTTTTGAGATGATTGGTGCTTCAAGATTTCCTCAAGGCTAGAGTAACTGTAAGGTTCCATAACTATTTGGTTCTCAAGTAGTATAACAAGGACCACAAAGAGAACAATGGTGACTGTCGACAGAGTACTAGGAGATGTGTAGAGAGAGAGAGAGAAAGACGGTGAATGAATTGTAGTTAAAATACTAGGAGATTTGCATACAAGTATTGAGAGGGAGTTTAAGCTGCCATTCTCAAGATATAACAAGGATCTACAAGAGGAAAGATGGTGAATGAGTGTGGTGTTACAGGGGCCATGTTGTGTATTTATCTATCAGGAGAGAGAGACAGAGAGAGAGAGATGGCTGGTTAGTTCAAGTCCTTGGAGAATCATAAAGCTAAGAAGATGGACATCTAGCATGCATTTTGGCCTTATAACTGCGTCTCACATTAAAAGCTTTCAGAGACTGCTACATTAGTTATCAAAACCACTATATCTCACTTATATAATTATATATGTATGTATTTATGTATAGTTATATATAATATTATTATGTTTATTATATAACAAATATATCACACTTTTCTTTTATATATTATATGTTTAAAATAATTATCTCGCATTAATTTTAGTAGATACCTTTTACTGAAATATATTTGGATTGGATGATTGTTGACAAGGGAGTTTAATCAATAAGCTAAATGGTCATAATTTCACTTATACATATTATTGTTTATTGAAATATTTCCAGCCTGGCATTGATGATGTTTTCTGTATTTGGCGAAAGAGGATTTAGGAACTTGACCCTAGGCAAAGTACAAATGCCACATACATATGGTGGGCTTTTTTTTTAAATTTATTTTTTCACTTTTAGGTAGAGTTTATGATACTTAAAAATATTTCTAGGTACATTGGTGGAACTTGACCCTAGGCATTTTTCTTTTCTTTTTTTTTTTTTTTTGACGCAGAGTTTATGAGATTTATAAATTTTAGTGCCAAAGTTGACATAATAGAGAAAGAAGAGTGAGGAAAGGAACGGAAAAGATCATACTTGTCCAATCCTCTTTTATGTAATTTTATAGTACTTTTTATGTACAAAACAGACCACGAAAAATATGAAACATTTTTTTAAGAACTTCCTAATAAATGGAGTTGGGATAATTGCACAAAAATTGGCTGAAATAAATGTATTTTAACCAGTTTTTATTTTTATTTCTCAAAACATTTATTCATAATCATAGCAACCTTTTTAGATAATAATTATCTTAACAGCTCTATGGAATTATTTTTATTTTTTATCTAGTCAAGGAGGGGAAAAAGAATCATACTTCAAACAATTTCACAGAGTTTGTGACCCTGAAACATAAGGGAAAATAATACATTTCACACAATGAGAATGAAAATTCAAAACTTTGCGACATTGACTGTTGGTAGTTGTAGGTCCCACCTGCTGTGGTGGAGGCTACTTAGGTAAAAAAAATCATTCTTCAAACAATTTCACAGAGTCAGGCGTTGCAAGTGTATCATTGTTCCACTTAGGTAACAATGCTTTGAACATGTGTAGTGGGACCCACTTAGGTAATCCTGATTATTTGTAGCACTCCTATACAAGAAGAGTCTCTGCAGTGGATAACATCTGTAATAGCAGACCAAAGGATCCGGATACTTGCGAAAAATATGAAAGTTTTCGCCAAAAAAAAAAAATGTGAAACTTTTCCCATCTTGGACTTTATTTGGCATTCTAAATTTATTTTGTCACAAGAAGTTATTAAAGTCTCTTTTGATTGCAATTGCAGAAGTAGTTATTTGCTTTTCTTAAACAATCAAATAAGTAATTTTATGAGCATAAATATTTGAAAATTTTAATTTAATTTTTGATCAGAAATATCGAATATTAAGCAGTAAAGATTCTATCAGTTAATTTAGCCGATAAGGCATGTTTGTTATATATCACATGATCGAGTCTGAATTCTCAAGCCTTCAAATAAGTTTGAATACATCTTCAATTTCTGTTTGATAAATCAATTTCTTACATAAATTTAAATAAATTAAATAATTATCATAATTTAAATATTACTTAAACAGGACTAATTTCCCATAGAATTTTTAAAAAATCAAGTGAAAGAGACTTTACTTGTCACCAAATATTGAACACTATAAATTCAAATAAGCCCAAAAAAACATTTTTTTTTAAATTTTTTTTTACATTTAACACTTTAAATTGGTTTAAATCAAACTTAACTAGTAAAAATTCCCATCCTCAACTTTCAATTTTACACACGTTAAGTGACACCACGTGATCCCATTGTAACAGATGCTGTCTTTGAGTGTTGCAAACAGTGACACAGTCACAGAGAGCATGGCCTGAATGGTGACAACGATTCGGAGGAAGACGATGGTGCTTTTGGAAACTGAATGCTCAGGTAATGTTCTACTTTGATTCTTCGTATTCTTTGGTGTCTTCAATCTGCTACTACATACCAATTTTGGCCTACTGCTATTGTTCTTTTTAGAATTTATCTATATATATATATATATATATATACACACACACACATGATGAGAATTGCAAAGCTGTGATTTTATGTTGATCTAGGGTTTTGTCCGTGTGTTGATTGGTTATTATCTACTTTGCTATATTGCTGGCTGCTCTAGGTTCTTGATGTTTCGTGTAGGTTGTTATCATCTGTCTATTTAGATGTTTTTTGAATCTATAAGCCCCAGGGTCTTGAAAAAGACACAAGAACAGCTCATCCATGATGCGGAAATAAGGATGCTACGTTGGATAATACAAATAACTAAAAGAAATAAAGATTAATAATGAACGTGCCAGGGGAACAATTGGTGTAGTGCCTATATATGATAAAACTAGAGAAAGTAGGTGGTATGGTCATATTAATGGTATATCCGATTATGCACCGGTTAGAAGAAGAAGAGTTGTATTCCTAGAAGGTAAGCGACAAAGAGGCAGACCAAAATTTACATGGGAGGAAGTAATTAAAAACAATTTTAAAAAATTAAATCTAAGAGAAGACATGGTATACAATAGGAAAGAATGGGGAAAAATAATTAATGTAGCCGACCCTATATATCCATATGGGATAAAGGCAAGGAGGATGATGATGATGATGAAGCTAGGGTTTTGAGAATAACCTTTGGAGGATTTTTGAGATGTTTTAACTTTTAAGAATAAAGAATGAATAACTCATGAAAATTGATGAGAGAATTTAAATAGATAGATCAAGTGGATGTGGTGCTTAAGTGTGTGTGTGTGTTTTTGTTTGTTTGTTTGTTTCTCTCTCTTCCTAGAGCCAGAAAATTGAAGCATTTGCCAAAGCTTTTTAAGGGGTTGAGAAACTATGTTATCAGCTTCTTCATAAGTTCAAATTAAGCGAATGAGAGAGGTGCATGAGGCTCTTTTCCACATGAAAATTAGGAATTACTTTGATGGAGTCGAGTTAAGCAAGTAATTAAAAGAAGAATTATCGTATTCAAACTGAAGAGACAGATGAAGAAGAAGAAGAACATGGTGATAGAGTGATTTGATTTATCCTCCATAAGAACCCGGTGGCAAATGGCCCTCCGCAGAGGTGAACGTACTTGTGTGACTAAAAAAAATTGACGTTGGAGATTGAACTATTGCTTCAGCAAGCTGACTCCTTCCTGTGCTGTGGAGCACAAGCGAGCACTCTGTGCCATGGGTGAGGTAAACGAAGGGTAAACACCTAGAATTTGGGAGCAGGAGAGCATACAGTGGATGGAGTCAATGCACAGCACAGCAAGGTTACACTGAGTAGCTGCTTGAGCTTTGAAAGGAGACTTTGAAAGCCTCCGAAACCGCATTCTCTGGTCACTCCAGCTTCATATAAATCAAGGACATTTTGGAAATCAGCATTGGGCTTGTAGGTGGGTTGGTATTTTGTCTATCTTAGCACAATTTGTAAATCGGTTCTATTGTTGTAAACCTAGAGACCAATTCAAATGATATGAATTGAGTATGGCAGGTTTACTAATTCTCCTCTCACTCCCCTCTCCCCCCAACCCCCACCCCCCCCCCCCCCCCCACCCCCCGCGTCTCTCTCTCCGCCGGTACCTGAACCTCAAGCACCAAGAGATTGACTTCAATAAATGCTTTGTCCCGATGAGAAAGCCAAGTCAGTTTGACAAGTCTACTACTTCACCTTTTCAACTACAAAACTTGCGGCAAATAACCTTCCTCCATAGACCAAGCCAATGATGCTTAGCTGCCTTGGACTTAGTTTAATAGGCTGTCTCAATTTCAAAAACTTAATTGATTGACACGGAAGTGACTTCCGGGTTGTGGTTGAACTCAAGTGTATGAACTTAGCACGTAGAGACTCAGGAGGCTTCAGAGCACGAAACGAATAGAAACTGCAGCTGAAGGTTTCTACAACCCTTGGATGAATTGGGTGGGACCCAGCATGGCTCCCACCCAATGCATCCAAGGGTTGCAAAACCCTCCGGCTGCAGTTCTCGTTTTGTATCTTCGCCTAAATATCATGATTATTTAAAGAAAATTCTTATGCATTTTATATTTCTACTGGTCCTCATTTGTAACTTCACTTAACCAACCAGTTCAATTTTGGAGAATTCAGTGAGCCTATGATTTCATTCTCTACAACACTTTTCATTTCAAATGCATGCCATAAAGGTCTTAGCCCTTGACTGCGTGCTTACTCTTTTTTGTCATAAATATCGGCACATAATATGTAGTAGATGTATTTTTAATATCACTCCTTCCTTCCTAAATGCTAATCAATATTGGGATGAAATTTGTAGTGCCACATTGTCCTGACCCCAAGACTGAAAAAACTAAGGCCATTATTGGATATAGGCTTCTTAGCACTTGTTTTTTTGGGAAGGCATGGAGACAAATAAAGCAATTGCAGTAGTCTTAACTAATACGCCGAAACATATTTTCGCTATATAAGATTTCCGAGTTCCCATGTGCTTTTGTTCTAATTAAGTAGGCTCATGATTGACGATGCATTGGTTCCATTAGATCTTGTTTCCAAATTAAACAGATTTTCTAATATGGTGTTTCGTGAATTAAAGATGGATTGATGTTACTGTAAGTGTTGTCTTTCATCTTTCTTATTTGTTCCTTATTAGTAAAGATAGAAAGGAGAAAGATGGGTTGATGTTGGTATGAGTGGTCATGCCTCTTACTTATTTACCATCTAGGGGTTTCCACCAAGAAGATCTATCAACTCATTTGTGCAGATTTTCATGTGAAAAACAGTATAATGTTTCATTGACTCGTTCAGTTAATTATAGATATATCTATCGTCCATAGATTTTATCAAAGGTTATGATTAGTTATGTCTGAAAGAATAGGTTTATCAATTTATCACTAACATTTGAAATGCACTTAAAAGAGGCCTCTTTTACTGTGTCTCGAAACATTTATGTGTTTATATCCCTAGCTGATAAGATTACATCATATTGATGAAGAAAATAGCTTTGGTTCCTTTAGGTTCTACTTAAATAAATAGTATTCATTTAGCTTTTTAAGCAAAGGGCCATTATCCCCTTTTTTTTTTTTTCCCTGAAGTAAGAATTCAAGTTCTTGTAGGTGCAATTAGGCAGTTCTTTAAAAATAATTGTTTGTTTAAAAAAAAATCCTATAAAATTTTGACAGTGGTCATTTGAAAAATATAACGGGTTAATTTCAGAAGACGACAAATTTATCTACGAAACAAAATGACAGAGGATTTGCCTATTGCCCATGGTGATTACTAAACTGATTAATTCAAAAGCAACTATTTGAGTAGGATCAGATGTTGCTGAATTTGGAAATGGTTTAATTCATGCACGACAAAAAGTAGCGAATAACCAATTAATAACGTTAAATTTTCTTAACGACAAATAACTAATTCGCAACTTTATTTTCCCTCAACGATACCTTCCCTCAACCGTCAATAACTAATACCATTGTTCTTTTCTTTCTTCCTTTCACTTCTTTGATAGGAGACAATAATCATTCACATCAATTCACGTTCTTCCATAACTATAGCATTTCTTTAAGAACATTCTCAACAATGTTGAACCCTAGATTGGATTATTCTAAATTTATCTACTTGTAGATCAAAATATAAGTTCTGAATTTATATAATAAAACAAAACATTGCCAAATATAAAACAAGAAGCAAACTCTAAAAACACCAAACTTGATAACAAATCCATTCCGTGCTTCCCTTAGCACATAAACACACCTGTTATTGCATGGAATATTTAAGAACTCATTGTCTAATTAACATTGATGGAAAACAATTATCAAACGCACAAACACATTATTACCCTAGAACTTGAATTTTTCTCTCATGATTAGCTAGTCTTGTTCCTCTTATGCCTCCTCCTCCTGACTTGCTAGTTTCTTGTTCCCTCTTATGCCTCCTCCCCCTCCCCCTCCCCCTCCTCCTCCTCCTCCTCTTCTTCATCGGCAAAGTTCAACTTCAAGTGTCCATTTTCCCTTGAAGCAGCCAGAACACCATGAGGAGGAATCCTTATCTCCGTGCGAACAAACTTGTCAGAATTCTCATCCAATTTATGGTAAACAAAAGGCTTACCAGTATTAGATAATTTCAAGTAAGAAATCGGTGGAGGATACAGCTTTTCTTCGCTTGTCGATGGTCCCTTGTTGTACACACACTTGTTTGCTGCTACCGAATGCTTATCCATGCTCTTCTCCTTCTCACGGTCAGCGTCATCCTTGAGGTTTTCGATCATTGTTCGGAGAGTATGAGGATCTGGCATAGAGGATGATGATGACAATGGCAGGTATGGAGGGGAAAGTGAATGAGGGGATGATGGACTCCCCTTGCAGTAAGGCTCCCCAAACATCTCAGAAACACGATTGCCCTCATAGGGTATTCCGGATTCAGACTTTGTCCGTTGGAATGGCAACCCCGTGAACTTTGGTTTTTGAGATGATTGGTGCTTCAAAATTTCGTCAAGGCTAGAGAATCTGTAAGGTTCCATAGTTATTTGGTTCTCAAGTAGTATAACAAGGACCACAGAGAACAGATGGTGAATGAATGTAGACAGAGTACTAGGAGAGAGAGAGAGAGTTTAAGTTGCCATTCTCAAGATATAACAAGGATCTACAAGAGGAAAGATGGCGAATGAGTGTGATGTTACGGGCTATGCGGTGTGTATATATACGGGGAGAGAGAGACAGAGAGAGATTGGTTAATTCAAGTCTTTGGAGAATCATACAGCTAAGAAGATGGAAAACTAGCATGCATTTTGGCCTTATTACTGCGGCTCACACTAAAAGCTTACTTAGACTGCTACATTAGTAATCAAAACCACTATATCTCACTTATATAATCATATCTATGTATCTGTGTGTGTGTGTGTGTGTATATATATATATATAATATTATGTATATTATATAACAACTATATCACACTTTTTTTATATATTATATGTATAAAATAATTATCTCACATTAATTTTAGTAGCTATCTTTTACGGGAATATATTTGAATTGGATGATATGTTGACAAGGGAGTTTAATCAATAAGCTAAATGGTCATAATTGCACTTCTATATATTATTGTTTATTGAATTATTGCCAACTATGATGTTTTCTGTATTTGGTTAAAGAGTATAATTGCATTTCTATGAATTATTTGTTGCAGTTTGTGAGAAGAGTCCGGATTCTTTGCAGAAATGTTGTGAGCAGTTCGAACCGTGTCCGGGTGCAGTATTAGCAGAAGATCCGAATATGTCCGAAAAATATGAAACTTTTCGAAGCTTTGTAAATAGATTTGCTGGGACAATTGCACCCAAATCTGTTCAATTAGTTGAATTTTAACCAGATGATAGACATTATTATTTTATTTTTTTGGGTTGAACATTTATTCATAATGGCTTTTTTAGCATATATTAAAAGACTGTTATTCTCTCCATAAAAGGAAAAATATTAACCCAATTGGGTTGATAATGTCCCGTTGCGCGACAAGAATTTGGAGCGTGAATACAAGTAGGAATTGTATGATTTTGTATCATGGAGTTTGATGATGTTGGGAACATTAAGAAATCTCAATAAGAGAAACATAGATGCACACGAAGGATGAAAATTTGATTTTAGCATCTAGAATGAGATCATACAAGTGGGTCGAAGGAATGTATTAACATTACTCGAATATTGTTAAAGTTGACATGATAAATATTCAAGGAAATATTGTTAAGACCTATTAGCAAGGTCTATTTATTAAAGTAAAACAATTAAGGTTATTGATGTCTGAAAGTAAGGCTTAAAACGGAATTTCACTTCAAGTCTTCAATGGTTTCACGGTTTCAGTTTAACAAATTGACCAAACTAGTATTCTTCAATATCAATTAGTAAATTATTTTTTATTTATTATTATTTTGTTTTCAAATTTTTATGAATTATTTGATGAAATTACCTTCACGATCAAGGGCAGAGCCAGTTTGTGCCTAGGGGAGCTGCCCCAGGCACATGCTTGTTCATTAAAATATATATGTATATATATATATAGTAATAAATGTTTATAATTTGTACCCCCCCCCCCCCCCCAAAATGTGTTTTTCTAAAATTAATTCTAATTATTTCCTTTACTTTTTCTTCTTATTACCCTACTTTTTCTTCAATGTTTTTTCTATACAAACTTAGCCAAGCTTACAAAGCAAGCTAAGGAAACAACTTGCTTATATATATTTAATGTGTTCACACCTACAACATTATATATACAATAAACCTATACACATAATTCAAGCCAGCGTCTAAATTCTCTCAGTGGTGGGCCACACTACTAATTTCATTCATTTCTTCCAAATTTTCATAAATAGTGGACCTCACACCATATATATATATAAATATAACAATTATTATAGTTTTTTATTTTAGATGGATAAAAGTTTGTAAAAATATGTATGAATAATTGTAAATCCACTCATTTATTTTGTGACTAGACATGTAAGATATTATATATATATATATAAAATATGAAATCATTTGTTAAGCTTTTTATAGAATAAATAATTATATGAATAAATCAGGTCGTCCTCCTTTGAGATGTAAACATAGGTTTCTTTCGAACCGCAGTATTACATACACGAGTAGTCCATGATGTAGAGAGATAGTGGAAGAAAAAGAATTTGAAATCATGCGAGAGAATTTTAATAAAAAAGAGGTGAATTTGAGTCAAATAGAAGTTGTGAAACTGAGTCTCTTATATAATAGGTGAAATATGGATCAAAATGGTTGACTCATATTCAACTCATTTAACCCTCTATAATAATGGATTAAAAATGGGTCACCCATTTTTACTTATATTTTAAAACGATTCACCCATATCCATTTTAAAACGAACGAATATGAACGGGTTGATGGGTCATAACCTATTTTGCCACACCCCTAACTATGCCTACAGCCCCAAAACAAAAAAATAAAAATAAATCATTTTTTGTACCATTACTCTGTCAGGAGACTATCTCATCTCTCAAGAGAGCCCCTTCATCAGCAGCTCTTTATTTTTATTAACCTTACAAAATTTAATCATTGCAGTCAAGGAAAAATGCTGAATATACATCCACACACACACACATATATATGCGTGAGGGCATGGCCAGACTACCAAAAAGATTACGAGATGTGACATATTTGCAATGCTCAATACCCAATGTAAAAATATCACCATGAACCATAACTTGCATAAAAATAATCAGAATTCTAAATTCCGAGCACATGGGTTGAAATGGATGAAATCTTGGCTCGAACGCACGTATGAAGACTCTTGCATCATAGGAATAGATGCATGGAGGCATTGTAAATATAGTCATGAAAGAGGCTGCAATGATCAGTGTTATTAAAGGTCCAAAGCACATAGACACTAGAGGTCCTCTACAACCTAGAGCCAAGGCAAAACGTGCCAAGGTCAAGTGAGGTGCACATATTAAAGGCGCAAATGTTGTCAAAGGTGAGCCCAGGCACACAACATGCACAAGTCTCAAGCCTGCAATGATTAGTGTTATCAAAGGTCCAAGGTGCATAAGCACTAGAAGTCCTCTAGAACCTATCCGCAAGGCAAATTACTATTAAATCATTCATGTTCCATATTAAATGGGTAAATGTGGTCAAAGGCTAGCCCGGGCACACAACAGGCGCAAGTCTCGAGCCTTGCCTTTGACAACACTGGTGAGAAATATAAAAGGATATAGTTTAAAACAAGGCTACCAAGAGAATTCAAGAGTCATACTGCAGAATTATACCTTGTACAAACAATTTCATAGACCAATTCCCAATATTGTGAACCAATTGGTATCTAATCAAAGACTTTAAGAAACAGACAAGTCACTGTACCAGGAAAGTTAAGAAACAACACATATAACTCAGTTTTAAGTTTTAACTAGAGCAGGCCTATAATTGCCACCCATACAAGGGGATTGACATGTCAGATAATATCCATACAAGCAGCCATGTTGTAGAACATGCGCAAAATCATCATCAAACTGAAGCTACTGATTTCTGGGAACGGGCTCGAGAGCTTCAACTGTGACCACACTATTCCCTCGGATAACCTGAATTAACACATTAATCAGTCAAAAAGATGGAACAATTTGAATAAAAATAGAATGATCGGTCACTCTTGTATAAACCTCTAATTCATTCAGTTACCAAATGAAGCTGCTAGGAAAAAACGAGAGTTGATTCCATTATTTCACCGAAAAGAAAATTGGAAAAACGTTGCAATTGTACCACTGGGTCATTAGCCCTATTGGAATAACCTCTCCTCCCTCAAAAAAGGGGAGGTGAGGGGTTCGAGCCCCATGGTGGACATTTGTAGATGTTTGAGTATTTTACAAGGGGAAAAAAAAAAAAAAAAAAAACTGCAGTTGTAATTACTTTTCATTTTTCCCAATGAAATGATTGTTTCACCCATGTGAAAGGGACAAGATGATAGCTGAACAAATCAGAGAAGTTTATCCTATAGAAGATGTAAACCCAAAAAGTCAAAATTCAAACACAAAATTAAGGGCAAGGAGCAGTGACTCACCACCATGCCGATATCATTCCTCTCATTGCCATTAACTTCTACAGTGTTGTCGATCACCAAATTCATAAACTGATCAAACCCGCGAAGGGTCCCAACAACCATCCTGTTTGCATTCAACTTTACTGCAATAAAGAAGCCAGTTCGAATTATTGGGAGTTCTAAAGCAACTGAATGACAAGCCATACATAGTTACATACAACACAGCAATTCAGTGCACATTGACATCTCTCCACATTCCTGAACAGAAAATCTTTTGAAGAGTCAGCCTGTAATTGTAGAAACGATTCAAGTTCAATACCTAAAGTTCAACAGGACTTTTGTAAAGTCCATTGTGCATTAAATAGATTATGCACAAAAAACAACCTAAAAAACAACAGTTCAAGGCTACACATGACTCATATGGTAAAATGTGAAGTCCATTCAGAACTGCCCAATATGATCCATCATCCAAGTACTCCAGCACTGATTGAGGAGGACCACATGCAGTCCAGAATAATGCTCCTCTTTTTCCTTTTTCTCCCTTTTTTTTTTTTTTTTTTTTTATAATTTAAAATTTGGAAGAAATGAAAATTTATATCAATGGTTCACTGGTAGAAGGTATGGATAATTCAAACAAAGTGAAAGTAGGAGAGATGGAAAAGATTAACCTAGAGAAAGGAAATTGATTTTGCTAGAGTGGTAGAGAGCAGGAAGGAGAGGAAAAAAGCAGGTACCCGTACTTGTTAACACAAATATTGTTTAAAGAATTTTTTTTTTTTTTTTAAAAAAAGGTTCCTCTATCTCTCACATTCCCACCCACTTTTAGGGATTAAGTAAATGGTGGGTTGGATGAAAAACTCTCCCTCTCTTTTATTTTCCCCATTTTCACAGTCCTCTCACACTCTTCCCTCCTTCAAAATGGAGAATATAGTTTGTTTCCCTATCGTATCAAATCTGACAAGAACCTTAAAAGTACTTGTTTGGAAGTCCTTCGAAAATAAAATTATGTTATTTAAGGTTTCATGTCAGGCCAGGCTAGCTAGAACTCAGACCCCCAACCCGAAATTTTGGTCGATACACATGGTTCTGCATCTTGGACCAAGCCCGGGCCATATTTAAGCCTGAAGTTGGGGTTAGGCCAGATCAGACATATATGGCCCACCCCAAATTTGGCCTGAAAGCTTTTATGAGAGATAACTATCATATTTATATGATAGAGGGTCAAGGGACATAATTTGGTGGGATCTACAAAGAAAACAAGAACCTATAAAACTTATAAATCTTATTCAAGACATGTACAGTGAGACCTTGACTAGAGTTGACATTACATGCGGAGAAACTAGTGATTTCCCTATAAAGGTGGGACTGCACCAAGAATCAGTGTTGAGTCCATACCCATTTGTGATAATATTAGAAAAATAAAAAAATAAAAAAATAAAATCAAGAAAACATCCCATCGTGTATGTTATCTGCAGATGACATAGTCCTAATAAATACATCTGAGGAAGTCTTAGCAAAAAAATTAGAAAAATGGAGAGAAGCATTAGAGTCAAGGGGCCTAAAAATTACTCAAACTAAAATGGAATATAGGACATGTAAATTTGATAAAGTAGAAAACAATGACAATATAAATATCATACTTCAAGATCAAATAATTACTTAAAAGAACTATTTTCGTTACCTAGGTTTATTACTACAAAAAGATGGGGAGATAGATGGTGATATAGCAGGTCAGATTGGAGCCAGGTGGGTAAAATGGAGGCAACCTAGTTGTATCCTTTGTGACAAGCGAATACCAAATAAACTAAAAGGAAAATTCTATAGAATGGTTATTAGGCCAGCAATGTTGAATGGAGCGGAGTGTTGGGTATTGAGAAAGACACAAATACAATGCATTCATGTAGAGAAAATGGGGTTGCTACATTGGATGATAGGAATCACTAAAAGAGATAAGAAAAATAACGATCGTGTGAGGAAAACACTAGGTACAACGCCTATAAATGATCTCAAGGAAAGTAGACTTAGGTGGTATAGTCATATCAAACGTAGGCCCGATGACGCACCTATAAAAGAGGAAGAGTTGTTTGTGTGGAAGGTAAGCAATAAAGAGGCCGACCAAAACTCACATGGGATGTAGTAATTAAAAACAACTTGAAAAACCTAAATTTAAGAAAGGACATGGTGTATGATAGGAAGGAATGGAAAAAGAGAATTCATGTGGCCGGCCCCATCTCTATGGGATAAAAGCAAAGATTGTTATGGTTAAAGTAAAAAAAGATAAAGTTTAGAATGAACAAGTACATGCTGTTTTGCCATTTATTATTTGATTTGTGTTTTGTCGATACAAAATGGCATTCTATCCTCTTATTGAATTTCTAAAGTCAGTTTCTTTGTAATGCTTTGTGTTTTGCTCTCAAATACTTCCCTACCACAAGGAAGCCAAAGCTGAGACAATATAATTACATTTTCTGAAGAATTTAAACATCTTTAGACTTTGTTTTCAAACAACAATAAGAAAATATATATTTGGAATGGGGGCAGGCCTTCATGATCAGGTGGTAGATTGAGGTAATGGGGTTGTATGGAATCTTAGTTTGGGTTGTGTATAGCCACTGTAATGTTTGGAATAGTAAGGATAAGGGTCCTGGTTTGTCTTGTCTGATTGTGGTCTCTGTTTATGGATATTTAAATTTTTTCTTTAAATAAAATTTAAATAGCTATTGTTTGGTGAGTTGTATCTACATATTTGTTTGGTGAGTTGTAAAGTGGAAATTGTTATACTCATGAAAGGACTTCTTGAATTTCGTCACCAAACACATGAAATCGCCTTTTGATTTAAAAGGACTTATCAAATTGACGTTCACCAAACATCTTTTCTGTGTTAAAAGGCCTTTCTCTAACTTCATTCTTGTAAAGGCCTTTTAGTATCAGGAAGCCCTCCCAAACACTACCCATATAAACAAAGACATACTAATTATACAACAATAGGTTGTTAATGTGTGTCATCTTACATCATTTAGGGGGAGAAGTTTCTAGTACTTATAAGGGATGTCTTCTACTTGTTTAGACGTATTTTGAAAACCGTGAGCACAAAGAGAGTGCAAAGCCTACAAATATATACATAGCATGGGGTGTGTCCCAACATAATGGCCCAAAGAAACTTAATTGTTCAGCAAAGGCCTTTTCTAATGGCTATCTATCTATTATTGTTTTTTTATTACTGTTGAATATATATATATATAAAATATACACACACACATATACATTTTCAAATTAAACTAAAAAAACTATCAAGTCCTTGTCACAGTACACCATAAGTAGTGAAGTTCTTCAAAATTGATCAATTCTTTTGTAATGGTATTCACTAATGACAGCAGAAGCACAACAAAATTTTTGCTTCCCTATATAACATTTAATATTATATGATATTTTTATTCGAAGTTAAATGGTGTTGTATTGTTCTGTAATAAGGAACACTAAAATCAAATCTATAAGATTTTTAGTTAATATATCAATTCATATATGTGTGTGTGCGCGCATATCTGGTACACAAAATTTAAAAGAAAAGAAAAGAAAAACCCTAAGGCCCCTATACCAGACAATTTCATAGTAGAAAAAGAAAGAGAGACTACAAGCTAACAAAAAAGTTAACAATAACTTACTCTGGAGCTTCTTGTCCATGTACCTGTCGGAAGGAAGGAAAAAAAAAAAAAAACAGAAGAAGGAGTTCAATATACGAGGAATTGATAGTGAAAAAAAAAAAGCGAAGCGGAGTGAAGATTGAAAGCTTACTTTTTCAGATCCGGAGGCTGACCCGACCTGCTCATGATTCTGATTGACAGGTTTTTTTGGGGCAAGCAGAAGCAGTTACGGCCGACTGTTGAAGTAGAAGGCGGCGATAGGGAACGGGGAGAGAGAAAGAGGGTTTTGTAGAGAGAGAGAGGGTTTTGTAGAGAGAGGTGGGCCAATGAGCCCAAAATAAGGGACTTGTGGATTTTCATGTTGGGCCTTCTCAAAGATAGGCCTGTACCCCAACAAATGATGGGCCGTGTTATGGGCTTGAATGAGTGGTGAGTTTGATAAGGGCCACAAGGCAAACGAAGCTACTAAACATTCGTAGGCTTGTGGCTATTAAATTAAGCCCAACTTTAGACATAAAGTTAAACATAAATCAACTTTGGTATAATTTTGCACAACTTAACTCCTTTAAAACAAAATGAGTATTATTTATTGGTCTATAGTTAGTAACTTAGAATAGCACCAGCTTTCCGAACGAGTGAGCGAGTGTGTTCATATTTGAGTAGAGTATCTTGTTCGAGTAGAGTGCGTAACTCTCCGAACTGAAAATAAAGAAAAAAAAAATCGGGTTAAAAATGTAAGTCCCAATTTTGTTATGAGATGTAGAATTTTTAGTGTCAAACTGTCAATATAATACTTTTGATCCTCCATGCAATTATTGCACTTAAATTTAATAACCGGATCACATTCTAGTTAAATTTCATTAAACCCTTTTATTGGTAAATCAATTACATAATTAAAACAATCTGGTACATAAATACATATAATCATGCAAAAATTCACATCAGAGTAGATAAATAGATAACAATCTCTAACTTGGGCTATATGAGATTAAATCATTTACTAGACCAAACAATATAATAAAGCTATTATTTTAAGTCTTTATTATCTTCTCAATCACTCACGTATTGAATCAAAAGAAAAAAATATAACAGACAAAACACACACAGATTTAGAAGGGGGAGGCAAAACTTTTTGATCTGAATTGGGTGTCTGGATTCTCTGGTGTACAAATCTTTGTTGTAGGCTCCGTTTATTTGGATGTTAAATATTTTTCAGAAATATATTTTTTATTTTTTGGTATTTAATTGTCGTAAAATATTTACGTAGAAAAAATTATTGTCCAAAATATGGTCTAAGTATACTATATACTGTAATATTATTTATTTAAATATTATCTGAAAATATAATGTGTATATATATATAATTATTATAATAATCTATATATATATATATATATATATATATATATAATTTGTTATAATATATAGTTTAATATAATAAAATAAAACCTATAAAATAAAAGAACCTGATTAAAAGTTGAGGCTAGAATTTGATTCTATGTCCTTAAGACAAATTCGCCCCGCTATGGTGCTAACGGACTCAGTGGCGTCTATCTCTCATAATACAACGACTTGTCTTCCTTCGGTTGTAGCACTAAAAACCAAAGGAATAGGCGAACCGGCTCGGTGTAATACTCTCTGACTCGAACTCGGATTCGGAGTGACTGACTAAGGCTCGAACCCAAATACTAAGGTTCGAACCCACAGACTAAAGAGAGAAAGAAGAAGAAGAAAATTCAAAAGAAGAAAAGAATTTTCTGAATTTTGGTGTGATTTGCAAATGATCCAAAGGGGGGTATTTATAGGTAGCCAGGTGCCTTTTTGGGTGGGTACAACCATGGGTTATGATGGTTCGAAAAAAGGTGTAACCCTTTAAAAAAAAAAAAAAAAAAGTAGTTTTTTAATTTAAAAGGTGTAACCCTTTAGAAAAACTGAAATATGGTTTTTTAATTTAAAAGGTGTAACCTTTTAGAAAAACTAAAAAGTAGTTTTTTTAATTCAAAAAACCACCCACCCAAAAAAACCCACCCATTTGTGAAACCCATTTAAATAAGTCCAGCCCAAAAATAGGCCCAATCCAAAATTCTATTTAATAAAATGAATAATTCGGACTTTATAATTAGGCCCAAATCCAAGCCCAAGCTTGACTTATTTAAACTTCAATTGGTTTCAACATTTTTTCCATTTAGGCTTTTCAAGCACTTCACTTTGGATCTAATTTCTCATTCACCCGGAAACGGATTTGAGAAAGTAAATATACCACGTTCATCTCCTTGCGAAGAGGAACGCGCTGGTCTATAGATCCGCAAAAAATTCTTAGCGGAATCTATTCCAATTCTCATCCAAAGTTATATTTTTAATGCCTCCGTTTCCAACAATCCCCTACATGAATGGAAATTTGCGCAGATTATAAATGAAGAAGATACAGACACTAGAGAGAGTACTATTAGAAAGTAACTGCATCGGGATAGGTAGTTTTTTGCCTTGAACCTTCCCTAGTGTATTACTATTGGATTTACTGGCTAAGTAGTGAACATGATATCTTCAGCCGTTGATGTAAACCAAGACAATAACAAACACACAATTCCTTCCTGCACAAAGTCGGTTATCACGGTTGTGTTCATATAGCCCTGAACAACTCCTGGTATTTCATAAGAGCTTTTAGAAAACTTAACCTTAGAAGTTCTCATATAAGCGGCCCCACTTCACACTCATATAGGTGACTTCTTATTAAGAGTATCCTACTATACCCCACTTGAATTTTCAAGGTCTAAGAGTCATTAAAAGCATAGCTTACCCTGCTTAACACTGTAGGTAGCACTGTCTCATCATAGAAATGGGTAGAAGATTAAATCTTCCCAGTGCTTTTGGTGAGTCATTCAGAATTTTTGTTGTCCCTTTGAACCTAGATCTTGGGATCTTGGGTTTCCATTAAGATGACTCGTTAACTTTCGGCTTTAATCCCATTCCCCTCAATGAACTATACACCTGCTCTCTTGTCAAACTTTTTGTAAACGGATTCGCTAAATTATCTTTGACCTGATATAATCTATTGAGATTATCCCACTTGAGAGCAATTGTCTAACGGTATTATGTCGTCGACGTATATGTCGAGACTTACCGTTATACGTATTACTTTGTGCCCTTCCAATTGCTGATTGACTATCGCAATGTATACATATAGCGGGCACAAGTTTAGGCCAATTTAGAATATCTTCTAAGAAATTACGAAGCCACTCAGCTTCTTCACCAGCTTTATCCAAAGCAATAAATTCAGATTCCATAGTGGATCTGGCAATACAAGTTTGTTTTGAAGATTTCCAAGATATGGCACCTCCTCCAATAGTAAAGACATAGCCACTTGTGGATTTAGAATCCTTCGTATCTGATATCCAATTAGCATTACTGTATCCTTCAAGTACTGCTGGATATCTAGAATAATGTAATCCATAACTTATGGTATATCTTAAATACTTTAGAACCCTGATTATTGCAGTCCAATGGTTCTTTCCTGGATTACTTGTATATTTACTCAATTTATTAACCGAGTATACTATGTCTGGTCGTGTGCAATTCATCAAATACATTAAGCTTCCTATAATGGGAGAATATTCAAGTTGTGATATGCTAGGACCAGTATTTTTCGATAAATGAAGATTTACATCAACAGGAGTCTTTACTAGACTACTGTCTTCTTTATTAAACTTTTCTAATATTTTCTCAATATAATGAGATTGAGATAATACTAGACCATCTGATATTCTAAAAATCTTGATTCCCAGAATGACATAAGCTTTGCCTAAATCTTTCATTTCGAAATTTTTGGTTAACATCTTTTTAGTAGTTTTGATTATAACATCATTATTACCCATTATTAGCATATCATCCACATATAGGCACACAATGACATATACAATTTGAGTGTTTTTGACATAAACATATTTATCACACTCATTAATTTTAAAACCATTTAACAACATCACTTTGTCAAATTTTTCATGCCTTTGTTTAGGTGCTTGTTTCAATCCATATAAGGATTTTACAAGCTTGCACACCTTTTTTTCTTTTCTTGGAACTATAAAACCTTCAGGTTGATCCATATAGATTTGCTCCTCTAATTCACCAATCAAGAAGGCAGTCTTGACATCCATTTGATGTATTTCTAAATTTTGCAATGCTAAAATAGCTAGTAACAATCTAATGGATGTTATTCTTGTGACTGGTGAATATGTATCAAAATAATCCAAACCTTCCTTTTGCCTGTATCCCTTAGCAACAAAACGGACTTTATATTTATCAATTGAACCATCAGGCTTCATCTTCCTCTTGAAAATCCACTTGTACCCTAAAGGTTTAGTACCAGGAGGAAGATCCACCAGCTTCCAAGTTTGATTTTGCATGATGGATTCAATTTCACTATTTATGGCTTCTTTCCATAAAGGAGCTTCAGGAGAAGACATAGCTTCCTTATAGCTTTATGGCTCATTCTCCAATATATATGTCAGAAAATCAGGACCAAATGACTTAGACGTTCTGGCTCTTTTGCTACGTCTAGGTTCTTCCTTATTTTCATCATCTATAGACTCTTGGTCTATATTCTCTTGTATATTGCTATTAGCAATATCATGATTTCTTTTAAGAGGATTTTTACAAGGAAATATATCCTCAAAGAAACAAGCATTCCTTGACTCAATAATTGTATTGACATGGATGTCAGGAATGTTTGATTTATGCACAAGGAAACGATATGCACTGTTATTCTGTGCATAGCCTATGAAAATACCATCAAAGATTTTTGGTCCTATCTTAACTTTCTTAGGAGTAGGAATAGCAATCTTAGCTAAACACCCCCACACTTTTAAGAATTTATAGGAAGGTTTTTGACCTTTCCATAATTCATAAGGTGTCACATTTGTTTTCTTTTGAGGTATTTTGTTGAGAACATAATTAACAGAGAGCAAAGCTTCCCCCCACAAATTCTGGGTTAAACCAGAACTTATCAAAATACCATTCATCATTTCTTTTAAGGTACGGTTTTTGCGTTCAGCAACACCGTTTTGTTGCGGTGAATAAGGAGCGGTAGTTTGGTGAATAATACCATATTCTGAGCAAATGTCAGCGAATGGTACTTCGTATTCACCACATCTATCACTTCTAAACACCTTTATCTTTTTGCCAAATTAATTCTCAACCTCATTCTTGTAATGTTTAAACATTTCCAAGGCTTCATCTTTACTTCTTAACAAGTATAGATAGCAGTATCTTGTGCAATCATCAATAAAAGTAATGAAATACTTTTTTT